CATGATCATGACCATGAAAATGGATGCGAAGACTCTGTTGAGCCCTTTGCGAGACCGACATATCGAACTAGCAGAGCCAAGTCGCGAGAGCCACTGGATCCGATAGTCCCGGAAGAACTCTCTGAACACGATAGCTCATGCTCATCTGCAGGAGATGTCGAAGATGTCGAAGCTCAACATCACCACCACGTTCCAACAAACGCATTCTTGTCCATTGGCCTCCAGACCTCCATTGCCATTGCCCTGCACAAGTTTCCTGAAGGATTCATCACCTACGCTACCAACCACGTAAACCCATCTCTAGGTTTCAACGTTTTCATGGCACTGTTTGTCCATAACATCACCGAAGGTTTCGCTATGTGTCTGCCGCTATACATGGCCCTGGGTTCTCGCTGGCGCGCCATGGCATGGTCAGCCTTTCTTGGTGGTCTTTCTCAACCCATTGGCGCGGGCATTGCTGCACTATGGTTCAAGCTCGCCGACAAGACCAATATGCAACCCAATGCGGTTGCTTACGGATGTCTCTTTGCTGTCACTTCCGGCATCATGGTTAGTGTCGCATTGCAGTTGTTTGTGGAGAGCCTGAGTCTCAACCATAGCCGTAACCTCTGCATCTTCTTTGGCTTCCTTGGCATGGCTTTACTGGGATTCAGTAACGCCTTGGTGGGCTCTCACTAGATGGTCAGCCTCATATGATATATATACTTAGCCAGCACCTTTTTATACTGGACGGGCTTATGCTATGGCATTCGTTCCTGTCACTACTTGACTCCTTTTCTTGCGCGGTGTTGGTCTGGGGTGCAATTGGGCTTGTACTTGGGCTTCATTGGGAGGGGCATAAAGTCATTTTGGGTTTGGGCATTCGGTGTACGGATAGAAAGGAAAGAATTTCACTTATGCGCAAGGACTGGGTACACTCGGTCAAACAACTTTATTTCTTTTATCATAGCCATTCCCATCGCTTTTTGTGACATGCATTTCATTCTTCATTTACATCATGACGGTGTCATAATAGCCAGTCGCTCATACGTTGACCACCGTCAAGGCCTTGCGGCCGGTTATCTATTTTAATTTTCACCTGTTTCGAAAACCATACCATTCTGTTCCCACAAACTATTCTTTTCTTCAGATGGTACCGAGAGCGGGATCAATAAGAGGATCCTGGACTGTTGGATCTCTTGCCAGGAGAAGTATATTGGTTTCGTCTTCGGGCCAGTCATCTTGAGGAGGACCATAGTCCATTGTAGCGGCGAAGATGTCATCCTCCGGCATGATACCGGGCCAGTTTGTTGTGTTGGAGAAACTTCCATCGAAGAAGAACTGGGCAGGATCAAGCTGGTCTCCAGCTAGGATAAGAGATGGGTCAGCAGCCGGTGGGTGATACAGCTCAACGTGTGCATCCCGGTCGTGGTAGCGAATGAAGGCTTCATGGCAGTGAGGGCAAGAAATCGTTCGCTCTGCCTGGTTCGCAGCACCAGAGAGTTCATCGATAAGGTTGATTTCTTGAGACGGTTCAGGTTTAGAAAGTTTAGGGCGCTCGTGGCCGAGGTGCTTATATCGGATATGATCTTCTAGTCGACTCTTGGTACTGAACTTATCACCACAGCCCTGATCGTTTGTCCAGCCCTGTAGGCCAGAGCCATTGAGGTCAACCTGGCCACAAACGAAGCGGAATCCCTCATGCGCTGTACGAATATGAGCGTTGAGGTTGGACTTCTTAGTGAACTTCTTGGTGCATTCGTCGTATGGGCAGGCGATGTTCTTTCGATCCTCGACGGACTGGCCGGAATGGTGCATTTCGACATGTTTCTCTAGCTCCCATCGTGAGGCAGATTTGAACTCGCAGAAAATGCAGTTCTGATGCTCTTGGCGGATATGTGCCTGAAGCAGCACTTCAGTGGTAAACCCAACCCGCTGTTCTGTACCATCGGGCATCTTCTTCAAACCGCACTCGCCGCACCAGAACTTTGCCTCGCCATGATCCTTATCACGATGTCGCTTCAAGGCCGCCTTGGACTCAAAAGCATGACGGCAGCCTTGCTCTGGGCATTGGAGTGCAGGCAAGCCTTGATGCTCTTTTCTAACGTGCTTGCTCAACGTCTCCTTCTTTCTGAAACTCTGCCCACAATCTTGGCAACGGAATCTCTCTTCGCCTTCGTGAACGGCCTGGTGTCGTTTAAGTCGAGTACCCGTCACAAAGCTCTTGCCGCAGCCCTCCTTTGGACAGACATGTTTTCGCTCCAGAGTATGGACGGCTTTGATGTGCTGTTTCAAGTGCTTGTCCTCTATATAGTCCTTATCACAACCATCGTAAGGGCACTTAAATGGTCGGGAATTGGTGTGAGAATTAAGGTGATCTCGTAATCTGGCAGGTCGATTGAAGGTCTTGGGACAACCAGGCCATGTGCAAGCAAGGGTTTTGAGATCCGAAGGAAATTTAGCCCGAGGAGTCGTAGCAGCAGTGTTCACCGTCTGTGGTGAATCAGGTTCCTGGGTGGAATATGGAGTATGAGCACTAGTTAAGTCGTCCTCGGCATCATCGATATCTAAGTTTGCAATATCAGTAAATGCATCTTCAGAGCTCAGGAATAGCAGAGAGCCGTACATAAGTCATCTGGGCCGTCTCGATAAAGTCTCTTGGCCGGAGGGACTTCAAATGCTGCCTCGGCAGCTTCTCGTTTACTCATGATGCTGTCATGCCGAGGACCCTTGAGTTTGTCAATGTCGAAGCCAAGCTTGGAAGTGGCAGAATTGATTTCAATTTAAGGCGGTGACTATGAATTTTTGTGTGGGGATTGCAGGGATGAGAGTCAAGAGCGACCCACTTGAAAGCTTCGCGCCGATATTCTTTGTCTGAAGGTGTGGAAGGTGCGCCGGATAAACATCGGCCTGACCAGGTTTTACTTTGTTCTTCTCTAGAACTTTTTTACGAGGTTGGCCTGGGCCATTCTAAAACCATCCATTGCGAACGCAACTCTGGACTAAGAACACTCTCACATTCATTCTTCATCAAGTTCATACTAATCAACACTCACCATGTCTGATTTCGGTGATGACGATGTTGGCGGCGCTGGCGGGTAAGTTGCTTCGCGATCTTTGCAGGCGCACGCGATTCTAACTCTTAGGCAGCGACGAGCCCATGTACGAGGAGGAGGAGATCACTGAGTACTACGACCCCGAGGTCCTCGAGGAGGAGGATGGTGACCAGCAGCAAAATGGACAAGACCAGGATAATGTTGTAGTCTCGGGAGATCCTTCTGCCGCTGCCAACGCGCTGAAGGGCGGCGACAAGCTACTCAAGGACAAGAAGATTCCCGAGAACGAGCGAACTACCACACCCTACATGACCAAATACGAGAGGGCGCGCATCCTTGGTACACGCGCTCTGCAGATCAGGTCCGCATCACCTTGGTGAACTGCAACAACTTCAGGATACTAACTGGATGCAGCATGAATGCGCCTGTGCTTGTTGATCTCGAGGGCGAGACTGATCCCCTTCAAATTGCGATTAAGGAGATGCGAGAAAAGAAGATCCCCTTGATCGTGCGGCGATACATGCCCGATGGCTAGTAAGTGATGCTTGTTCAGGCAGCTCGAAGATGCCTTACTTACGCGTGTGGTACAGCTACGAGGATTGGACCTGCGAGGAACTGCTGCAGTAAGCGACCAAAGGACTAGCACGTCGCGAAACAACCGATTGCCCCCGAGGCGTATATACCCATGCGACCCTCCTTAGATACAATCGAGCTGGAACGTTGTGTGCTCCCTTCTGGCTTGACATGTTGTATAGTGTATCAGGAGGTTAATTAATCATGTATAAGCGCGGCGTTTGAGATTGAGATTGATTTACACAGGAACTAGACAAAAAACAAGAAGGAAATCTACTTTGCTTCTGTGTCTTGGTGCACGAGTGTATTGATTGTCTCTGACGCAGTCTTTGATGAAGACGGACAAAGAATCCCCAACGACAACACTGTTGACGGATGCTCCAACGTCACATCGTTGTCAGTACGGATCTGTCCGGTAGAATTTCATGAGAGAATGATGTCAAGCGGGAAATGGCAGATGGCTTGTTTTGGATCTGATGGGCCGAATACGTCCGGCCAGATTGTGTTTCACTGAAACACCGGCGCGAGACATGACGGCATCTTCTAGTGTTTGGACGCAACCTCACATTGCGCAGTGGCCTGTTATACGTCACAAAGTCTGATAAACAGTCAATCCAAGCAAGGGAGCAATCTCTCATACCACGCAACTTTGGGCCTGACGGGAGATTATCAACCTCAAATACAAAGACATGACTCCTGCAGCGTCTGTGGCTTCTTGCATATTTGAGAGGGTCCTCGCAGGTAGATGAATTGTCCAACCAACCACAAGTCCAGAATATTCTTTCCAGCCTCCGACGTTGTGCCACACTGATCCGGAAACGGGTGTTGGTGGGAAGGGAAAAGCCGTGACAGCCGTAGCTTCGCAGATCATGCAAGTAAAGTTTTCATGCGACCTTAGCCAACTTGGCTTTAAATCGAGGTTGTTCTTTGTTTCGATGTCTAGCTATTTAGACGTTGGTGACAGAATGATCTTCCTCTTGGTGGGGACTTACATGACGTCGGCGGATATACTCCCTTGACTGATCCCAATCAACTTAAGACGATGATGAAAAGTTACGTCTAGTGTTGATCGTACGAGTCGTGTTCCCTAATTAGACGAATTTGGTGAAGCTGTTGTGCTATTGGAAGCTTATTATCTTACTCCATTACTTATAAGAGGTTGGTCGCACTTGTGGTGTTTTGAGGCCAGGAGGTTGGTGTAACAGAAACAGCAAACAATTGGAAAGACCAACCGATATTCATACTTGCCTTGGGTATTTATCTTACTCAAGTCCAACCTCTGCTAAGAATCTTGCTGATTCATACTCTTTCATCTCAGACATTGACACTCGCCAATCTAACACTTTCTTTCCCACTATCATTATCAGCCAAGACAAGTTCCCAACCGTAACAATGAAGTTCTTCACTGTCATTGCAACTATTATTTCTGCTGTTAGCATCTCTGCTGTGCCCATATTGAAGGAGCGGGCCGTCGGGGGTGTAAGTTGACCCTGCTCCCTACTGTATTTGTTATCTCTTGTTTGTGGTGTTAACATCTCATTACCACAGCTCTTGATATGTACCGGTGCCAACTCCACAGGTACATGCACCCACGAGGTATATACGCTTAACCAGTGTCATCAACTTTCCGAGCCTTTCCTTCGCAACGTCACTACTTTTGCACCTGATGGTGAATATTTCAACTGTTACCCACGTACAACCGGCTGCAATGACACTTGTACGAGCCCTACGGGTTGCACAATAGGCCCGATCGATTTCAACTACGAATTCAAGTTCAATTTCACTCGTGTCGGCTGGCCCAAACTCTTCAACAGTTTTGACTGTTCACTAAAGAAGAACAAGAAAGGCGAAAATATGCTCGATTAGGAGAAGATTAAAAGGATGGAGCAGGGAGAGCCAGTATGGGTACCTAAGTGGCTAGACAAGTTGATGGGCACGATTGTTTTCGGGTGCATCTTTTGGGTCTTCTACCTATATTAACTGCTGGCTTAGAGCGATCGACTGTCTTTCCTGGTATTATACAGGCATAATAAATTAGGGACGGAGCAATGGGCAACTTACCGGGCTACGGAGTATTTGGAGTTAGCAATAGCAGCGATAACGTTTTGTTCTTTTGCACTTGGCCAGAGAACATGAGCTGAAATAGATACAGCTTTAATGATTGACGATTACTCTTATAAGATAAGACATGAACCATTATAAACTCATACCGACTCGACGTCCCAGAGTAGTATTACTGTATATACTGTTCTGTCTTATCATGTCTCCGACCCGTGACACGGAGGAGGTTCCGTATTCCGGAGCCGGGAGATAATTCGGCATTCGTCATGTTGATGAGGGCATCCGGGTACCGATGGTGGGGTTAAGGTTACCCCAGACCTCGCCATTGACTGGAAGCTTCCCCTCCTTGGGATAAAGCTCAGCTATTTCATAGGGACATAATCATAAACTACTGCCATTTCTCCTCTTCACTTGTTTTTCCTCTTTATTCTTGAAAGTGTTTTCAACTTTATACCCCCAATTGCTTCTATCTAACCCAAGCAACTCTCAAATACAGTGACATCATGGCTTTCACCACAAATGCTACTATCAACAGCTTCGGCGGACGCTTCCTCAAGCTCTCCCACAAGTCCGCCGTCACTGGAACACCCATGAACGCAACTCTCTACCTCCCAGGCTCAGCATCATCTTCCAAGCCAGCTCCTCTCCTCATCTACCTCTCCGGCCTCACATGCACTCCTGACAACGTCACAGAGAAGGGCTTCCTTCACGCTCACGCCTCCAAGCTCGGCCTTGCTCTTCTCTACCCAGACACTTCTCCCCGCGAGCTCGACTTGCCTGGTGAGCACGACTCATATGACTTTGGCAGCGGAGCTGGCTTCTACATCGATGCCAAGAAGGACCCTTACAGCAAGCACTACAAGATGGAGTCGTATATCACCAATGAGCTTCCTGACCTCATCTTCAAGGAATTTAAGGAGGTTGACTCCTCCCGAGTTTCTATCTCTGGCCACTCTATGGGTGGACATGGTGCTTTGACTCTGTTTCTCAAGAACCCTGGCAAGTATAAGAGTGTCAGCGCCTGGGCTCCTATCTCCAACCCTTCTCAGTGCCCTTGGGGTGACAAGGCCTTTAAGGGTTACTTAGGCGAGGATAAGGAGGAGTGGAAGAAGCACGATGCTACTGAGCTCATCAAGAGCTGGAAGGGCAACTTCCCCGCTCTCATCGATGTTGTAAGTTCTGAGCCCCTCTCTCATTTTGTAAATGGACCATGCTAATAGACCAGGGCACTGGTGACAACTTCTACAAGCAGGGCCAGCTTCTCCCCGAGAACCTCGAGAAGGCCGTCAAAGAGGCCGGCATCGAGGGCTTGACCCTCCGCTACCAGGATGTAAGTATTTCTAATACTCACCAAATAACAATACTAACACGTCTCCAGGGCTACGACCACTCTTACTTCTTCATCTCTACCTTCGGCGAGGACCACGTCAAGCACGCCGCCAAGGCTCTCGGCCTCTTGTGACTGCCACGCAGTGCGCTGTAAAAAGGTGAAAAGCCAACAGTTCTTTGACAGAAGTCGGTTGGATGTACTTACGGCGCCATTTTGGGTAAAACGGATCCGGGTGTGTACTCAAGTTGTATACATGAGATGCTCCAGTAGCAAATGCTCTCAACGATGCTGGTTTATGGTCTGAACTATAGTTGAAAAGAGGTCGTCACTCCACCGACCAAAGAACCTAAAAGCAAGTTAAATAATAATGCTCTTCCGATTCACGTCGATTTTGGGATGTAATATGCCATTGTATTCGTCCAATGTCTTTGAAAAACGCCGCCTATATGAGTGCTGAAAGGTATATGATGCGAACCCAGACATGACACCTCCTGGAGAACCCGTCGACGTTACTCCAACCCATAAATAAACTCCTACAAGCCCACCCACACATGTGAACTCCAATCCAAACGTTCAGCTTACTATCCTCTCCATTTCAGCGCTTATACCTTCCTTTTCAAGCTTTGCTTGCATTTCTGCATCCACCTCTCGACGTAATCGCATATAAGCTAGCTTCTCAAAGCGACTGAGACTTCTCCACCAATGTTGTCCGGCTTCATGATCTGATATACGCTCCAGGAGATCTGCTGTTCTTAGACGGACCTCACGGTCCTTGTGGAATAGACCAAGAGCGAGGTAGAACAATCCAGCGTGAGACTCAGGGGCGACACTGAGTAGTAGGCAAATCTCATCGTACGTGTGGACGTGTTTGGAGATGGTGAGATAGATATCTCTGCTTTGTGCGGGGGTTAAGCGTTGCATTCGTAAACGGTCGTGAAGATGGGCTAAGTCAAGACCCTTCAAGGGCCTGATGGTATATATCTGTGCCAAATCCTGTGAAATGTTAGCTTTAGTCGTCCCTTGTTTTAGTATGGTGTCTTACTTGGATGAAGCTGTAATAACTTCGAGTGTTGCGCCATCCTTCGATTCTTGTCACATTACCAGCAAGCTCCTTATGCTTAGCTGTATCATCCGCCCAGACATAACCATGCCCGTTGGCCCCAGGTGGCATCAAGTCCTGATCTTCACCTCCAATATACAAGGCACTAGCTCCATAAACGCTTTCCTCGAATTTGGCTGCGATTTGAGTGAACTTACCGACCCAGTCGCGCCACTTTGCTCGGATCACACGTTCGCCATGTCTTGCAGCAATGCTCCTTAGAACATCAGTCATGAAGGCATTGTCACCCGTATAGTCCTGGCTTGTATTCGTCGTACCGCTTGCAATGGCCGCAAAAGCTGCGTTTTGTTGCTGGAAGTACAGCAGACCCTCTGTCACAGGGGCAGGGTCGATCTTTGTACTGATCTTGACCCTCCCACTTGGTAAATCGCACAGGACGTCCCACCACTCGGGGTGAAGCTCAAAGGTTGGATTCGTTACACCGGCGATAAAACCGGGTACGTTGAGCAGGTCGTCGATTTTGGTCAAGTCGGTGTAAGGGAAAGCATGTCGTGTAAACCCACGAAGTATACCACCCGATGCCAACGCACACGCGGCTAAAACAGCTTCTGCGACCTCGCCTGAGGGCATGTTGTACCCTAAAAAGATGATTCTCTTTTGTGTTAAGAGCGCATTTGCCAGCACAATGATCGGGTGCGTATTGACTCCGTTCGTTGTGAGGTGAGGGTGCAGCGCAAATGGTTGAGGGGATTTCTGATGAGAATCTGAAAAGTTTTGAATAAGTTTAATGAGTGAAAAGTCACCGACGGTTTCTGGCATGACAGCAACAGGTACTTTGATAGGGATTGGTATGCCCTTGTACATGACCTTGCTCTCAAACTCATGCGTGTCGCGCGGAACAGAGTAAATCGACTGGCCGCCCTCAACGTGGGCCTTTGTACCAGCTCTTGAGATACCAGTCAGTTTTGTCGGGCTCCTTGTGGCATCCAATGACTGATCTGCTGCCTCCTCGCGCTGGTCTTCGGCTATCCGCATTTGAATCATCTGTTCGAATTTCTCCACAAAGAGATCCCTGTTATCACTTGCTTGTAATAAGTGGCGCTCAAGAAGACTGAGTTTAGGCATGAGAGACAAATCCATGGCGTTGACTGAATCGTATAGCATGGCCAATGTCTCTGGAACAGGTGCTTTGAAGTATTCTTCCAGAGCCAATAGTAGCAGTGGCTATTAAAAAGGTTAGCAAATGCACGAGCACAAGGATCGTGTGTGAAGGCTACTTGCCTTGTAAATATGCAAGAAGGGATGCCGCGTGCAGATGGCCATGGCCTTGACAATGGCCCCTCTCTTGACCGACTTGTCATGTTTGGTATTGACCAGATTAAGCACATAAATTAGGGGAGGGCCCTCTCCGCCCTCAGGTTCGCTATCAGTAGATTCGGTGTCGTCTTCATCATCGTCATCCCATTCGTCTTCTGGTAGATCTTCTTCGTCTTCTTCATCCTCGTCTATTATACCAGCTGCTCTATCACGCCTTCTCTTGCGCCTCTTCTTTCGATTTTCCTTAACTTTGCGCTCCTCATCCTCCTCTTCCTGGCTTGTATCCTTGTGAAGAAAGAATATTGTCCAGTCCTGGTTGCGGGCATGGGCTTGATCGGGCAACATAAGCTCTGCCAACATATTTTCGTCTCCTGTGATCGCAACCGGGTATTGATGCTCCATGACGGGACCTCGATCGATGTCGAAGGATGCGACAAGGATATATTCGACATGGTTTTCTGTAGAGCTTCGCGGGTATTGCGAGCGAAGCTTTCTCGATGGTCGTGCATGGGGGTTGGTCCTTCGAGGAGCGGAAAGCGATGAATGCTGCGAGGATAGACCCGTCGAAGGCGTCTTTGACTGCGAATTGGGATCGGAAATGCGATCGATTTCTGGACCAGGAGGAAGAGGTGACCTCGAGGGAGGCGGCGAGGCCTGTGACATTTGCGATTCGGGGCGCGAAGAGTGAAACGAAGCCAGGGAGGTTCTTCGGTTGGAGACTGAACCATTGGAGAAGTTGCTGAGGCTGTGTTTATGACCGTGGCCGTGGTGGTTGTTTGCGCTGTTGCTGGTTGTTTTGGTCAAGAATGGCAACGTTGACTGGAACGAAGAAGCCATGATGGAAGAGACGAGAGATGAAGACGAGACAAGACAATACAAGACAATCTAAGACAGTGCCGAAGGCGGATTGAGGCCGGGGTTCCGAGACACGAAACACGAGTCTCTCACGATTTAGAACCCTCGTAGGTTCCGGATCGGGTGATGTTGCGTTGCGTTGCGTTTCGTTTTCGAACTCGGGGGGTCCGAGAGGGTTGAGTGAAAGGATGCGGTGAATGCATGCAATGTAATGCAAGCCCAATGTAAGGCAGTGGGATCGACGCTCTGCTCTGCTTTGTTCCACTTTGGACGTTACAGTACCTTGAAGAATTGACAAAACAAAACAATTCTCCTTGATCGAAAGCAGTTGTGATAGTATGTACAGCACCAGCCAGTACCACTTGTTATCGAATATGTAACAGAACTAGAAACAGCTTAAAGAGTCTTGTAACCGAGACATGTTCCCGCCACAAAGTACAAGTGGGCGCAACTTGCACAACGAGGCTTGACTTCCTTGTAGGTGGGACAGATGAAGATGGAAGTATCCAGCAAGTCAATTAAATATCCGACGATAAATCAATTTGCTGTGTATTTGAATAAAGTGGTGTTTTAAAAACGAGAGATAATGAACAAAGGGTTCAATTATTTACCAACTCCCTCCCTACCCATTCTATCCACTATGTCGGGTTCAGCCTTTCTCCCCTCATTACCAACTAATAGTTGCTAACCCCTGAAACTGAAAACGGTTGGTCAAGTTTAAGAGCAGCGCAAATATGCTTTCGGCTGACCTCTCTAATTGAATTTTTCCCTAGTCACATTATCATCTCTATTAGTTATTGGATCTTTGCCAATCAATGGAAAATCTTCAAGCTGAAAAAATGTCATCAGAACAGAACGTTCGTCCACTCAAAATGCTCCCCACTAAGAAAAAGGGTCGCCTCGTTCCCTTGCGTCCCCTGAATTGCGGCTTTCAGCTTGTGGTTGGAGCACACCCCATGCTCGTTAGCGCCATGCGAGTGCCTTGACTCTCAATCTTGGCTTTCACATATGGCTCAACTCTGTGGCACAATTAGTGGCGTTTATCATGCATCTCCCTAGGAACCACTTTCATTGTTTACTTTGGATCACACCTCGTTAAAGCGCATTACAACCTCAATTCTTTCCCAATGACGACAACGGTTGTCTATATCCATCCCACGGCCAATTGATCATTCTCACGATACATTCTATCTTAATTTCCATTAATCAACCTCAAATTGTCGCCTTCCTCTTCCTCGTCTTCTCATAAACCTGTTTATTGTCCATCTCCGCTCGTCGGACCCACGTTAAGAACAATGGTACTTCTTCCATGACGGAGAATCCCTGACAAGTGACGCCCGTCCCAGCTAACGCCGTTGTTTTCAGTCTGTGCCGGTAACATACAAGCCATCTCCTCTGGGCTATGGCTCTTCACCTACTCGAAGCTCTCCATTCCGTCGCGCCGAATCACCTGCATCGCCCTCTCCCCTAAGACATACTACACCCACTGGATCACCGACAAAGGCAGGACCTTTCGGCTCGACTTCGCGCTTTGCTAGACCAACAACTCCCACAAGCACACAACCCAGCTGGACACCAAAGGCCAAGACACCTGTTAGAGACGAGATGAATTCTTCGCCTTCGCGTATGTCTCCGGTGCCGCCAAGGACCCCAGTGTCAAAGTCGCTTGGTAATGGCAATGCGCTATCACAATTGCAAGCAACTCAAGTCCGAACTCTACGGGATGCTTTCCAGATCATGGACCGAGATTGCGATGGTGTCGTAAACCGTGAGGATGTTACTGATATGCTCAACCAGCTGGGTATGAACAACGAAAATGATGAATGAGATACGAGTAGCTAACAATTTCAACAGGCCTACCTTCAAACCCAGCCGACGTATCCAAGTTCTTCCCTCCATCAGCGCCCCAGACAATCACCCTCGCAGTATTCCTTAACTCACTTGCCGACGCACTTGCAGCATTGTCACCAAGCGCCGAGCTGCTCTCAGCCTTCTCAGCCTTTGACGACGATGACAGCGGCCAGGTCGATTTGGTTGAACTGCGAAAAGCCCTCCTGGACACAGCACCCGAACCTGGTGAGAAGGCTCTGACTGCCACTGAAGTTGATAAGATCATGAACGGATTCACTGGACGACGAGCTTTCAACCGCAACATGAACGCTCATCTGGGTGCCAAGAGAGGCGAGGTGTTCAAGTACCAGGAGTTTGTTGGCTCTATCATGGGCTCGAACAATGGTTCGGATAACCAGTCTCATGAGAATGGGGATGATTAAGTTAGTTTCTAAAGCATATCTCCTGCGAGCTGCAAGCTCGTTCAAATGCAGCCCGTTCAGGTTGAGGCAGTTAGGATGTCGATGCCGTCGATGCCAACTCGCATTTCCTCTAGCGCAGTTCTGAGGATACCCAATGGTGCCATAAGGCTTATGGGCGACAGAGTTTGGCAGGAGTCAGAGTAGCTGTTTCGGGTTTACTTTATGTAACTTTATGGCGGCTTTTGTAACGGAAAAGGGTGCTTGGCTGGATGGGTATGGTTTATGGTTGGGATAGCACTTGGTAACAACATAGGACATCGAATGAGAACACGATTAATTACTCAATATTGTGACTTCTTGTAGTGTATACATGAATAGATTCATGAACAACTTCAAGCTCTGGAAGTGTTGTATTGGCTGTAGACTCCTTTCTAACGCATCGGGTTAATCACCTTATAGCTTCATGACCAGCGATAGTCCTCTTCAGACAAAAAGACATCGAATCAGACTGAGGATTATGAGGCTCTCAATACACCTCAGGCTTTCTGAGGCACGGCATCTCGCCTGGACAAATAGACTGAAATTTGATAGAATGTTATTGTTTTAACATTTGACGTTCCACTCATACAGTTGAGAAGATATGCCTCCTGGAGGTCGTTGGAATGATGGACTCGATAGAGCGTTGCCATCAGTTGAACAGGACCCCAGGAGTGATTGGACTTGAAATCTCGAATAACTCGGTTGATTTCCATTCAAATAATTTAGGGCTATATCAATATAAAGAACGCCAAGAATACATGCAGCTTCTGGACGTAGACTTTCTATCTGTGAAGGCTACAGCGTGAATTAGGCACGAGAAAGACGGTAAGAATTTCGAGAATATCGTGAATGAATCAAATGAGTAGCCAATGCGAGAGTATTCCTAAATGTCGATTTGTGTTACCTCTTGAGTAACACGGCTTTATATAGGATTTCTATCAGAGTCCTCGGTTGCCGGACATTTCCTGCCGAGTTGACACTGTCTGCCTTAAAACTCTTACCTTGTGTCATGTCAATTCGTAGCAAACACTGATATTACTACCGTTGTGTAATGTTAGGCGTTTTCCGAAGTGGTACAGCATTCCGCCAGGACGATTTGGTTGCACGTGGTAGAATTGGGTTGAGATTAATGACAGAATATTTATGTTCATGCGAATCAGCCTGGAAAAGACAATAAATAAAGAACTCCAAATTCATTATTGGGTTCTGTAAGGCAATCTGTAAGACATCTGGAGGCATCCGGTCAACCAGTTCGTATAAAACAAATGTGTTGGACGACTGCCTAGCTTGCCAGCTGCGCCTGCGTATAGAAAAAGGCAGCCCCGGATCCATATCCCGTGGATTGCAATGATTTGCAGCCAAGCGAAACAAGCCCCTCAAGGATGCAAGAGCAGGCAATCGACCCGCCACCTCTTGACTGAGACTGATGAGACTGCACAAAAGTGACTGGCGTTGAGCAGTTTGGCGAGGACCAGGAAAGCCTTGTGAGAGCGCCTAAAAGCGACCTGTAAGAATCGAGGATGGCTGGAGAAACGTTGTCAGGGTCCTCGGCCCCACTGAACCTTCTAGAAGAGATGACGTTTGGATAAGCGCAAGTCCTCGATATTAGGTTAGTCATTTGCGGGCCGGGGCCTGGCCACGGACACTAAAACGATTAGTTGAGTTTACGCGGGGTGAGACATTGACAGCTGCAAATTAATTGACGGATTATTTTGTCTATCTCTTTGTTTTTTCTGTGCCTTGGTCTTGGTTGTGACATTCTGTCATTGATCTGTGATTGCGGAGCCTGTCACTTGGGCTGTGCTGTAAAGACAAGATTTGATGCTTCTGATGCTGTCATAGGTGGTTGTTTGGTGTTGATAGACAATCCCCAACCTCCAACCTCTTGTGCGGACTAGGTAGTTTGGTTGGCTCAACTTTTTTGAGGACAACTCACTACTAACATGCAGATTTAGACTCAGAACCCCTATCATATATTCTGTCAATTGAATTGTCATTACACATGGTCCTTGCTTAATTGGTTATGATCCGTGGTCCGTGATAATTCCAGACAGACAAGGTCGCTTCCGCGGTGGGGGTTGAAAGCGCGTGGCGACCAGGCATATTGAATGGGTTGAATTGAAATCTGTCACTGGGGGACGAGGTACAAGATACTCGCACAGCAGGCAAACACTATCCTGTGTTGCCAAAGTCTCCGAGAACCGATGGAATGAAATGACAGTTTTATAATGGCATTTGACGTGATTCCGGCAGTACGATACACAATTTTATTCTCATTAGACTATCCAGGCCAGACCAGGCTATGTCTCAGTGGCCAACCTAACTTAAACGCTCAGGCTCCCGTAGTGAGCCGGCAACTATAGACACCTGCAGAACCCAGCCTTTTTTTACATTTGGAGTGATCCGACAGGCTGAGATTTAGACAACGGGTTACTACACTAGGAAATCAGGCAGTTGAGTCGATTTTGACACATAGTCCTATCTATCCTAGTCGAGCTTTTGGTCTCCGCTGAGAACAGTGGCTGATAAATCTGCTGGGCTGGGCTGGGATTGACATGGCCGTTGCCGCTTGTCACTCGTCACTGTCATAGCCCAGTTCGCTCATCTCATACTAACAGAAGGACTCAAAACTAATTAGCAGCTGAATGCTGGTTCAAGTTGTGCTCTGCGTATTGGTTCAACAAGGGTTCGTTTCCTTCATCATCTCATCACTGTCCTCTTCCCTGCCCCCGACTTGTTTGTTTTTCTTTCCTCTGGATCACCTTTTTGTCATCTGCCTGAGTTTTGTTCTCATCTACTTGTTCATTTTGTGACTCTTTTACTTCTTCATTGTCTTTGTATTCCTACCTATGCTTTGACTCCTTAACATCTATCATCGCTGCACCGGTCCTCTTCCGTCCGTCTAGTATTCGGCATTCCCACCACACTTAACTTGACTCGACCCCTTTTAGGCTCAGAGCCGCACGACCGTTCCCGGAGCCACCAGTGAAGTCCAGTCCAGCCAGGCACTGGAAGTCGACCAGCCCCGGAAAAAAAAAATTCGGTTTTTTTCTTAACGCCCGTTTAGGGCATCGACTCGGTCAAGTAACGTTAAAGTAAAGTATCCGGCATAAGCTCGTTACGGGGATTCTTGGGGATTCTTCCATCCCGTCTACCTAAAAGTATTAGTTTTCTATCTGTCTGAACCAAACTTTGTTTGGCTCAAATGAAGAACTTCTTTGGTAGCGGCAAGAAGCCAACGTCCTCCTCCACTCCTCCTCCTCCCCTTTCCTCTACTAGGAAATCCGCTACTTTCGAGGAGCGCGACCGTGAGAACCACGATCCGGCCGAGCAACCTCCCGCATACTCGGAGCCTTCTTCTCCAGCGAGAGCAAAGTCGCCTTCAAAGTCTTCAAAGAGACTATCTCGGCCCGCTTCTTACGCCGCCGAGTCCACAAAATCTTCCTCGCGTTCTTCTAGATTGTCGAGGCAGTCTACCGACCCGGGCCATTCTCACTCCCATTCTTCCTCTCGTCGGCACAAATACGAGCCCGATACGCATCCGCTCAACCTCCCTCCCGAAGAACGAAAGCGATTATCCGCTCTCGCCGCCGCAATGAACGGTAACTCCATGGATGTCGACAGCGAGCCTGTTAATGGCGCTCGTTCAACTACTCCTCCCAACCCGAAGGCCCAGACCAACTTTTCCGTCCCTATTCCCAACGGCTCCAGTCATGATGACGGCGCCCCTCCGCCGCCTCCTCACAAATCCAACCCTGGAAGCCCAACAATTACGCCTGAGGAAGACGCCGAAGCCTACAAGGCTGCTGGTAACCGATTTTTCAAGGAGAAGAACTACTACAAGGCTATCGAGCAGTACAGCAAAGGTATGCATCGCCACCTGTCGTCAGGCTCTTATTTCCAGGATTTTGCAACCTGCCTGAATGCATCTCCAAATGCTGACATCTAATCGCAGCTGTCGACCTGTTCCCCTTCTCCGCTACTTATCTAGGCAACCGAGCTGCTGCTTATATGTCTAATGGTCAATATGAGCATGCTCTTGAAGACTGCTCCAGGGCTGTCGATTATGATCCTCAGAATGCCAAGATTCTTCTGCGCTTGGCCCGTATCTATACCGCTATGGGCCGACCAGAGGAAGCCATGACAACCTTCAGCCGCATTGACCCCCCACCATCTGCTAAGGACATGGCCCCTGCGAAGGAGATGTTGCATCATATTCAGTCTGCCCGTGATATTCTTGCACGTGGATCTGGATCTGGTATGTCCATGGTGCTTCATGCTCTAGACCTGGCTGAGCGCGGCCTGGGTCCCGGTGTCAACAAGCCCCGCAAGTGGCAGCTTATGCGTGGAGAGGCTTATCTATTAATGGGACGGGAAAACTCATTGGGAGAGGCGCAAAATATTGCTATGAACCTCCTCCGAAACAACAGCCAGGACCCCGAGGCTCTTGTTCTCCGAGGACGTGTTCTCTATGGTCAGGGTGAGAACGATAAGGCTATCCAGTTCTTCCGTATGGCTATCAACTGTGATCCTGATTTCCGTGATGCCGTCAAGTGGCTCAGAATTGTCCAAAGACTTGACCGCATGAAGGAGGAAGGCAATGCCGACTTCAAGGCAGGTCGTCTACAACAAGCTATCGAGAAGTACACCAATGCTCTGGAAATCGACCCTTCCAATAAGAGCATGAACTCTAAGCTGTTGCAGAACCGGGCACAATGCAAGATCAAGCTCAAGCAGTACGACGATGCTATCGCCGACTGCGAGCGGGCCATTAACCTTGACCCCAGTTACACAAAGGCCCGCAAGACCAAGGCCAATGCTTTGGGTGGTGCCGAGAGGTGGGAAGACGCCGTTAAGGAGTGGAAGGCGATCCAGGAGCTCGATCCAGAGGACCGTACCATCATGCGAGAAATTCGCAAGGCGGAGCTTGAACTCAAGAAGGCCCAACGCAAGGACTACTATAAGATCGTTGGCGTCGAGAAGACCGCTACAGGTGACGAGATCAAGAAGGCCTATCGCAAGATGGCTGTTAAGCTCCACCCTGACAAGAACCCCGGCGATCCTCACGCCGAGGAAAAGTTCAAGGACTTGCAGGAGGCTTACGAGTGCTTGAGCGACCCTCAGTAAGTAATTCTAAAATCTGGCGGCCAGATAAGTTACTAATACCACCTTTAGGAAGCGTGCTGCCTACGACAACGGCGATGATCTTATGGATCCCAACGACATGTTCGGTGGCGGCGGCATGGGAGGAGGTATGGGTGGCATCGACCCGGAGATCCTCTTCAGCATGATGGGCCAGCAGGGTGGTTTCGGCGGCGGTGGTTTCCGATCTGCTGGGGGCTTCCCTGGCGGTGGTGGCGGCGGCGCCCACTTTAACTTTGGTGGTGCTGACCCCAGGCAGCGTGGAGGATTCCCTGGCGGTTTCAACTTTTCATGACCATCCGGCGCGGATGATGACGATGACGACCTATGGGATAGTGAGGATGAGGATGCGGACTTCTATGACGAAGAAGACGAGGATGAGGATGAAGAAGACGAAAACGACGACTATGCAACCACCAGTGAAGAGGACTTCCACCCACAGTCCCCCCGGGACAGTAAGCTCCGAGATGATCTTGAACAGCGCCGAGATGCCCACGACCGGCTGGTAGATGCTGTACGACGATACGGCAAGTTCTTCATGGCGGCAGCTGTCTTGCTCCCTTGGCAAGTGGTGATCCTCATTTTGACGCTGGTTGGTTCAGCATACATATGCATGAAGCACATTCCACTCTTTGGCAGGAGAAAGCCGTTATCACTGTGAACGGCTCGCACATATAAGGGGCACTTTTCACTCATCTTATGCCACACAACATACCATTGGGGCGTTTATTTTAGGGATAGACATCAATGAATGCAGAGCAATGCTAGAGGGTAGCGAGTTGCTTGTTGTTAGAGTCTGAGGGCCTGGGATGGACGCGGACCCTTTAGATCGGTTCCTGGGGTGTTTCATGCATACAATGTCACATCTTGGTATAATAGATGGTTGTCCGCAAAAAGTTCTGCTCGTGCCACATTTATGAAGACCTCAATGCTAATAATTGTTGTCATCGTGTGGGTTATTCAATCAATGTTGATATCAACTCCTCATGGCAGCTGTTGATGACAAATATTGAATCACGGCATTTAACGCTGCTTTGACCCCAGAAATAATGCATTAAGTTGCGCGGCATTATACGCGCTTAGGGTATCATAAAATCCGCAGTCCCGAAACCGTAACCACTCGAAATAAACATGCTCGTAGCCTGAGCAGTGTGGTGAATCATCATAATCATCCATCTTCGCCATCTCCTCAAGCAGCTGACGATGAGGCATGGTTAGTAGCATTGCCATTCTGTTGCGGCTGTTCACCATTTCTCCTCCCGGGTGGCACGCCTCCAGTGGCCTCGACAACCTGGGCCACATCGTCACGCAACTCAGGCATGGCCGTGGTGATGTTCTCCGCCAAGATATCGCGAAAGGTTCCAAAGGCGTTGAGTTTGCCGCGCATAAGCTGATTACCTCGGCGCACGAGTTCGACAAATTCTCGGGTGTAAATATCTGGGTTACGGCCGTGCTCGACATACTCGACAAGTTCCGGAGGCACGGAAGGCAAGTTGTTTGGGGGAGAGGCGGAGGAGTGAACAGTGCGAAGGGAGTCGGAGAGGGTTTTGCTGGAGATTTTTAGTTGATTTTCAAAGGAGGAAGTGACAAGAGATGTTACATTTCGTTGATGAGAACTTCTCTACTGGACCGACCGACGGAATCGTAAGTTGAGACTTGTACCATTATTTGGTAGAGATCTTGGATGATGTCCTTGAGCTGTTCTACAAGGGGGTTAACGCACGTTAACGATCCGGAATATTATGATACCTACGCTCAAGGGCATTGTGGTCTACGCGATCGACAGGCGCCATGGTGAAGGTGTTATAAGCACGGATTGGACAAGCCTTGGCGAGTTGAAGATGCGATGCTTTGCTATGCGACGGTTTGTCTAAGGGAGTCTCTAAGCTTCATGAATCAGTGCCAGGCGGACTAATTACTACTCCGGATCCCTGCTGGGGCGGGAAGTGGGGGAATGGGAAGTGGGGTGAACAGGGCAGGTGGGGTATCCTTCTTATCAGTGACATGAGCTCTTGCAACGACATCAATCTTGGACTAAAACAACTGTCCACTCATTGAGGATTCACTGTTCTCTCTATGGACGGTGCAATCTTCCATATTCTGGACTGCTACCAGGGGCTCAATGAATTCCCTCAGTAATATCATCACATTTCCACATTCCATGGCCTGGCAAACTTAGTAAAGTCAAGCGTCTGAAATGTGACAAGCCATCCGTTGGTGACACAGGCTACTGGGATTCAACTGAAAGCCATACTTGCGGATGTCTATCTGGAGGTGAGACCCATAGGGCTCCAACCTTGGCCATTCAAAGCATGTAACGGCTGCTCGAGTGGATGCAAGAGACAAGTGGTTTGATATATTCAAGTCATCTGACATAACAAACTTCAACTCAACTTATCACAGCATGAATGTTGACAAAGAACTTGTTTGAGAATCTATGAGATAAAAGATAGTGCTGCTTGCGTTTAATAGTCCTAACCTTGAAACCGGGCGTGTGTTGATGCTCGCTCGATCCGACAAGATCAAGTATAAGGTTACAACCAAAAGTCAGTCGTCTGTCAAAGCTGGGATATCCTGGCTTACTTGCGAATATTACGGACAAGCAACATTTTACCTCCATCCACCGTGCAGCAGCCTGCAACTTCCCGCGTCACTGTTCATTCTCTCAAAGAGTGACTGATTCTCACCGCCAGCATGTGAGCCAATTTGTCCCAGATGACCCTGGTATCAATGACTGTAGCAAATCGTTGGCTTCAGAATCGTTTCTCAAGTTGAGAAACCTGGTACATGACCCTCATCATCTTTGATAGCTTGAACAAGGGCAAGCTGCATATACACGCGGCAGACACTTGCATGTCGGACACTCTGACATTGCCGGATACCATCATTCTAATGCCACTTGTTCATTCAATGACTGTGAAGACGATTGGATAAACGTCACTTTCAGTGAGATGTTTGTTTTGTGGAGGTCACAAGACCCTACCAAGCATGGATGTGGCAATCGTGAATTTCGTAAAGTGCCTGCAGCTTCCCGTCGGGGAGAGCACCTTCTGATCCGAGCAATGAATCAAACCCAAGGGTACTTTTATTGGTAGATATTAATTAGTGACAGTGTTCCCAGTGATGGCCAGCAAGGATGTAGTAGACCGTGCTTTGCTTGTAAGACAAGCTCCGTCACATATCACTTTCTGGGCATGTTAGCTATGGGCTCTGAAAGAAGGAGATATTAGGATGCAGGTTCTTTGTTCATCCACTTACATGGCTGAGCAGTATTATGGAAGCTGGTAGGATGCTATTTGATGTCAGAATGTCAAAGAAGACGTCCGCTTTACTGTATTGGGTCCGGAGGTTATAAGTAGTATGGTATTCCCCATGATGAGTCTCTTTGTCATCCGACATCATCTTGATTCTAATAAATAGTTAGTCACTGACCATGTCGCCCGGATCATCGCTCAATTGTCACCGTTCACCTTACATCTACCAATCTAGTCAAAATTGACCATACCCCCTATCTGCCTTTCAGACGTCAACATGACCATTTCCTCAGACCAGGTCCTAGATTCGAAAACTGTGTTTCCGCATAGTTATAGGGAAGGAGTTAAGTGCATTGGCTTCTCCAAGTCGCAAGGTCGCCCCTGTAACAGAGTCATTGGCGCCGCTAAAGTGAGGGAGCATGAGCACCTCATGAGCCGGTTGAATAGTGTTCCCTTGGAGCAGCGGGCTGACCATCCGCGCCTCGAAGAGGCAGTAAGGCTCCTTCTGTGCTTTACCCATAAGCACGCTGATTTTGATACGGAGCTAGAAGATGCTTCGCAGAAGTTTCGAGATGCAGCGGAGGCGGCGAAGGAAGCAGAGGCGGCCCGGGTCAAGGTATGTAACTGTCCTGTTCACCTTGTCGTGGTTGACTCTAACAAGAACCAGTGGGAGAAGCACACTCCCCAGAAGCGGCCTGGCATTCTTCGGAAGAGAGCAGTGCAGTTCGTCACTCCATCTCCACTGCCCGTGACTCGTCGTGGAGTTGATTTGGGCGAAGCATCTGCCGCGAACTCCGGGAAATCTGGGCACAGGCTTCAAGCTAGCGACATCCCTTCCGAGTCTGAGTCGGACTCGGAGGGCGATGGTAGCGACGATGATGATATTCATCCCCTAAAAGCTTGGAGACGCTATAAATCCAAGTGGGAGGCGCTGGAGAAATCTGGGCTGGAGAAAGGGGTCGTAAGTATCTGACTATGCTCTTGTTTCTACAACATGACTAACGATACCTTACTTTCAGTCTATCGTGCAGCAAGTCCCATGGCCTGTGGCTTCAGGCAAGCACCAAGACGTCAGCAAGGAAGCAGTCCTCGATTTCTTCAACAACGTTGCCGGTGACCCTGACAATGCCGACCGCGGGGTCATGTTCTCGCGTGAACGCATGCGCTGGCGTTCCAGTAACGTCAAGGACACCTTTGGTCGAGAAGTGTATCGAGGAATTATGAAAAGGGAAATGAAAATGATTTCCTCGGTGGCCAAGGTATATGAAAAGCGATACTCGGAGTAGTGTGGCTTGGTACTCAGTGGCAGTGGAGTACTTACTGATGGGTTTCTTTTCTTTGGACGGGTATTACAATAGGGCGGGCGGGAGGTCTGTTCAATGGGAGTCTGCGTTTCCTTTCCGACTATTGAAGCGGGCTCCCGTTTGGTGCTATTCCTACATCCGTAGCCAACAAAGATGAGTAGTCTTTAGAACTACTCAAATATGCCATCATTTCCACTTTTTCTATTCGATTTCTTGTCATTTTTTGTATGCCTGGCATCCTAGTTCCTCGACCATACTGTGAAGATGTCGAGCCAGAATATTTCCGAGAGTGACCCAACACTCGGCGATTCACTCGAGCAGGATGAGATCATGACAAATCCTGTTCCCGACGACAAAAAAGAAGAGAAAAAGACAGTACCTACTTTGGACCAAATTGCACCAAGATGTGTCATCAGTACCAGGCTCACGGCTCTGAACCCCCGCCTGACGAGCCAAGAGTCATTCTGCGAGCTACTCCAGTGGTGGTAAGTCATAGGAATATATACGTCTAGCCAGTGAAGCTGACATAAATCCTTACAGGAGAGACAGAATCATCGAGTCATTTGGCTTGCAGCTGACCGACTTTAACGTCGTCTTGGAAAAGCGTGAAAAACAAACCAACGCCAACGCAAAGATCATCGCGGAGATCGCTTTCACTGCGCAGGATAGATCCGGAAAAGATCTTGGTTACATTCACTTCATGAACAGCAGAGATGGTAAGGGCGGTGCCGTCACAATCGTCACCCGAGACGTGACTCTGCAGCCCAAGATGGTCCTGCCTGAAGTCGAGCCCCCCAAAGAACCTCGAGATGTTCGGTTCGCTCATCGTTCCGAACTCGGTTTGGGAAGAGCGGTTCTCAACTTTTTAGGAGCCGGTACAAACCATGCTGTCTCCTGCAGAGCGGGTGGTTACAAGTACAAGTTCGATTTCAACCCAGACGGCGAACTCAAGGCCACTCTGACAGCCATGAATGAAGACAAAATCAACGAGTTTCGACGATCGACAGTCCCTCAAGGCAGCCAGTATGTCCCATTTCGTCCGCATCCGAAAACAGATACTATCTTCACCATTGGTGGAGATAGTAACGGACCAGGGAGAGGCGGGCGAGGCAGATACATATTCCGCTCGAAAGTGACTCCAAGAGAGTTCAGCATGTGGTGCGAACCTATCTTGTTTCTACAGGAAGTCGATGATGATGGCATCGTAAAGACCGAGATGGGTGATCTGATCCTTGATGCCAAGTTCCGGGGCAAACTCTACCTTAAAGGTTTTCTCCTGAGTGAGACGAACCGCAGGAGCTATGCCAGCCTGTCGGAGAAGCAGCTCAGATACGGTTACAATATCCTCTACGGAACTCCAGATGAGAAGAGGAAGCACATGAGTTCGCTTGAGGAAGAGTGCCAAGCTATCATGTCCATCTAGGATCTGGCGTTGAAGCAGAAACCTCATCTTGTGGTACACCTCAGCAACTTGCTCAACGATTGGAGCTGGGGAGATGCTGAGATGGCATCGCAGTTCATCAAGAAAGACACCGTTTTTCTTCTCGGAGATCATCTATTTCTTGATCGTGCAAAGTGGTATCGTCCCACTAGCTCAAGACTGGTATGTCCTCCTTGCTAAGGCTTTCCGCTTGGTATGTACTAGCATTCTCTGGATAGGACCCCGAATGCAAAGACAATCTTCCGAATTTTGGTCGACAGGCAGTAGAATTGCGAGATTCATACTGGTCCATCTTGAAGCCCTACAACACGATCGATAGAAAAGTGTACGACCTGATTCCACAATTCCTTATAGAAGAGTCAGTTTCTCCAGACAAGACTCCAATCTCCTTATTCGTCGGCAAGGCTCTTCAATCCTGCCTATTTGCATGCGAACACACAGAAACCCTCCGCGCCATGTTTTTTATAGGACTATGTTTTCCTTCTTGGGATATTCTCGTAGAAGAAGATGTCGTCCGAATACCCAACAGATGGCTTGATGAGTGCGAATTGAGGCAGAGAAATGACAGCTTCAGAGATGCACCACTAGTATATTTGATGGCGACAGCTTCGAGTCTCCTGTTTCAGTACGTTCTCGACCAGCTCGTCATTGACGAGGAATCTTGTGCCCAACACAAAGCCATTGCTAGACAGAGAATGATAGACTATGCGCAAGAGGAGACACACTCTGAGATGTTGAATCTGAACTTTGAACCAGGTTCAGGAGTCAACTGCGCCAATGTCTCCTGGAAGACTTTGATTCCTCCTGAGAGTGGTTCGAACTATCATGTCCAACTGCACCAGACATCAACATGTTCGGGTCTCCAGGAGGCTCTTCTCGTTCGAGACAGTTAGTCCATTCCATCCCTTTCCTTTCACTAATACGACAAAAGCTAACAAATATATAGTCCTCCCGGAGTCTCCAACTTGCATCAACGACACATGCCACATCTCGGAGGTGGTTATCACAGAGGAGTTCAGACGATACTGCATCAGAGATTGCCTTTTGGGGCAAGAGTATTTTGGCATCGTCTATAACCCCGATGATCCTCTATCCATTCCCCTCATCACAAGTACTTTCACAGTACCGCTGGATGTGAGCAATACCGATGATCATGATGTAGAGATGACATTGGAGGGACCCGAAGATCAGCAAAGCCAGCCATCTTTTTGAACGCCACCAATCGCTCACTTCTATCTGCACTACAGATTTCTTCGTAGTCAAGGTATAGACAAAAGATCTTGAGGGTTATATACGACCCAGGCTGGGGAAGCAAGGAACTTGGGACGTTTACTCTAAACGACAAAAGACTTAGGTAAGTTTAGTATAACTCAGTGGGCCTTTAGACTAATTCATTTTAGCACCTTGGTTATGGTTAGAGCTTTTCTTACTCTCTAGGGTCAGGGTATTTTGACCTCAGTCATAGACAGGCGTGGACAGAGCTTTGGTGAGATTAGGGAGGTTGGGTGATGGCAACGGTATAGACAAAAGGGGTATTTCTAGAAGATCTTTGTAGGATCTTGGCAAGAAATATCAAGGTAAGAAAGAAGGTTGGAGATAAAGGATTCATTCGTTCTCACATGCGTTTGGAGCATCCTCAAAATGTCCATTAATAGGACATAAAGGCATCAAGCCTCAAAGCCTTTCCAGCCTTTTAATTTACAGTACGAGTTGTCAAAGTAAGGTTTCCGGGTGAACACCATCGTACTTAAGTCTAAAGGTATCACGAAGGAAACATTAGAGAAGGCAGAGATGGTCCAACAACACGTCTCCAGATTAACTACATATCATATCCTATCCTAAACTATCTCTTCTCCTCCAATATACCGTGATATAAGCCAAGAGATTAATATATACATTAGAAGTGAAGATAAGGAATAACAAACCACCCTCTTCCGCGACATTAAATACCCCAAGATAAGCATCCTCCCAATTTTACCTCGCCATGTCCTGCAAAGGAGCGTATATATGCGATTCCAACGACTCGCGATGAATTAAAAAGTCTGTGCCCTGCTCCCAGGGACAACTGGGTTTTAAGAGAAGTCAAGGGGGTAAAAAGAATAAAACAAGAACCAATCCGGCGGCGCTATTGGGCTTTGAGTTAATTGACTCATGCTTTTTAGATGAGAGCGACGGCACCGAGGATACCAGCCACGAAGGCAAAGACGGGAGCCTTGTTGGCGGCAGCAGCGCCAGTAGCGACGGGTTTAGGGGCGATGGTGGGAGTGGCAGGGACGGTGACCTCAGGCTGAGTGACGACCTCGGTCTCAGGAGCCTGGACAGTGGTGGGCTGAGGAGCGACAGTCTCGTAGACGGTACCGCCACCAACGGTATGGTAAACCTTGGAGTACTGGGTGACGACCTCGCCCTTGCCAATGGTCTTGACGATGGTCTCGATGGCGGGCACGGTGGTGGCAACCTTCTCAACGATGACGGAAGTGGAGGTGTAAACGTTGGTGATAACCTCACCCTCAACGGTCTTGGTGACAGTGACGGGATAGACCTCGTACTTGGTGTGGTAGACAACATCTGTCTCGTGCTTGGTGACATCGGGCTGCTTCACCTGGTCGTAGACGGTAGTGTGGACCTTCTCGACAACGTACTCGGTAGAGGTGTAGACCTTGGTGATGACCTCTCCAGCAATAGTGTTGGTGACAGTGACTGGGTAGACATTGGTCTTGGTGTGGTAGACAACATCTGTCTCGTGCTTGGTAACATCGGGTTGCTTGACGTGCTCGTAGTCAGTGGACTTGACGACCTCCTCGATGACGCTGGTGGTTGTATATGTCTGGGTGACAACCTCACCGGCGATGGTCTTGGTGACTGTCACGGGGCAGACAGTAGTTCGTGTCTTATAAACAACATCTGTCTCGTGCTTGGTAACATCGGGTTGCTTGACGTGCTCGTAGTCAGTGGACTTGACGACCTCCTCGATGACGCTGGTGGTTGTATATGTCTGGGTGACAACCTCACCGGCGATGGTCTTGGTGACTGTCACGGGGCAGACAGTAGTTCGTGTCTTATAAACAACATCTGTCTCGTGCTTGGTAACATCGGGTTGCTTGACGTGCTCGTAGTCAGTGGACTTGACGACCTCCTCGATGACGCTGGTGGTTGTATATGTCTGAGTGATAACCTCACCGGCGATGGTCTTGGTGACTGTCACGGGGCAGACAGTAGTTCGTGTCTTATAAATAACATCTGTCTCGTGCTTGGTAACATCAGGCTGCTTAACGTGCTCATAGTCGGTAGACTTGACAACGTCGTAGATGATGCTGGTGGTCGTGTAGACCTCGGTGATGACCTCTCCAGCAACAGTCTTGGTCTGGGTTATAGGGCACACTGTTGTTCGTGTCTTATAAACAACATCTGTCTCGTGCTTGGTAACATCAGGCTGCTTAACGTGCTTATAGTCGGTAGACTTGACAACGTCGTAGATGATGCTGGTGGTCGTGTAGACCTCGGTGATGACCTCTCCAGCAACAGTCTTGGTCTGGGTCACAGGGCACACTGTTGTTCTGGTAACGTAGTCAACATCAGTGTAGTGCTTGGTGACATCAGGCTCCTTGACTGTGACATCGACAGTCTTGGTCTCAGCAACAACGAGTGTTGAGGTTGTGAGCTTTGTCTCACAGTAGGTGCTGTATCTGGTTAGCATTCTGCAGTCTCTTGATAGGCTCTGAAAAACTCACGTTCCCTCCTTGTAATGAGTGTAGGTGACAGGGCAGACGGTGGTAGTGGTGTAGGTCACAGCGACCTCCTTAACCTCGTGCTCGTAGCCGCCCTTCTCTCCGTATCCTTCATCTTGTCCGTACTCGTTCTCGCCAGTCTCGTAGTCTTTTCCGCTCTCAGAGTCTGGGCTCTCATACTCATCTCCTCCTCGTCGGATGTTGTTAGCCAGGGCCGAGGTGGCCAAGACCAGAAGAGCAGCACCGAACTTCATGATGAAGAAGGTTGAGAGGATTTGTGATATCAACGAAGGTGTTATAAAGCGAGTGCAAGCTGTGAGCAAGCGATGGTGGTTTGATTGAGCGAAGGTAGAAGTAACCTGAACGAGTTGGTTACTTGTGTATACACAAATCCAATCAAGGCTGATCGGGAAGTGAGAGAGGCTGAGAGATGGATGTAAGAGATGGAAGGAAAACGAGAGAAGGTTGCAGGCTTATATCTGTAACTTGTCGAACCAGACCTGCCTTAAGATGAGAGAGGTTGGTCGAGTTGGCCTTGACAACCTCCAAATTTTCCAGGCTAGGTCACCCCAGAGACTTCACTTCTCCCAACTCTACCCTCGGGTGCATTAATCTGACTCTACCTGCGAGGGGACGATAATCATCATGAGGGAGGGGTGTGAATATTGGCAAGATGTGATACGGACATCGTGAGTCCAACCACTATCAGAGGGATCAAAGGATGTGGCTGGAGCTCACTGGAGCAACCGTGATGCATGAGGGATGCAATCGAGAGGACTAGCTGGCTAGCAATCGGCTGGGAAAGGCAATAGGTTTCCTACAGTGGGAACCTGGGTCGACGGTGAACCAAGACGTGATGTCAATATCATGCACGGAGGTCAGCGATACTGTGTTGGTTAATGGCCAAGACAATTAGGAGCTCCTTTGCGTAAGGTTTCGAAAGCTCCCCCTAGCTAGGCAGATCCGCAACAGCAGGGCCGAAATGTCGGCCTCCCTCCAAGCTCAACAAAAGATCCTGCCCTTCTCAGTGAGTGAGGCTACCAGGTTGTCAGGTTGTGTAAGGCCAGGCCGTATTGACCCGCTTGGTTTAGCCATTCACTTAATCAATTGATCACTAGATCAGCCTGCATTCAGTCTGGGGAACCTAGTAAGACGGGAGACGGCATGAGCAGCTAGAATAAGACCTGGATACGAAGGGAACCCGCGATATCTTTGTGTAAAAGACAGCAAATAGCGGGAATGGGGACTGCATCTCAACGGAACCGCGTAGCACTCGGTGACCTACAGCGGGGGGAAGGACAAGCTAGCTCAGAGGAAAGCAACTCGTAAACAAAAGAGGTGGAAACAATGCAACTCGGGCTGGATGACAACATCAGCCAGCTTTGACGATGCAGTTGAGCCAAACTCATTCTGCCAATATGCACCTAGCAAAGTATACGGTAACCGAGGCTGAACTATACCACAGCACGGTATGAGCGGTTTGTTGTCGATGCAAACTGCAGGGCCGGTCACTCCGTTGGAGTTTGATACGCAGTAAATCGGCATCTTGGACGTTTAGTGCCCAGCAGCAGCCAACAAACTCTCGAGCCTCTTGGAGCCAGGGCAGTCTGTCGTGAAGGTCCAGGAACGCAGCATCGCTACGTGGACGGGAGACTTGGCGCCATACCAGCCATGACACAACAAAGATGCGGAAACCTGCTTGTCGTGATAGCAAAAGGGCACGAGTAAGGTGGTTGTGATTAGCATTGTAACCATAGAGATAACTGTAAGGTTAAGGTAGGGTGAGCAGAGGCAGTATGTAATGTCAGCAAGCCTCATGAGGAGAGTTTTCGCTTAACAAGCAGAGACGCCTTGCTTGAGATGGCTAGTGAGGATCGTCCACCCCATGTACATGTCGCCAATCGACGATTTGCTCGTGATAGTGAGGCCAAAGAAGTGCCTTGGTTTCGGGGAGTGGGGTACCCCAAGCGTCTTAGTTGGAGTCTCCGGGGATTTGTTAGTGAATATTCCCGTTGTAAATATGGCATTGTTCTGTTGTGACTGCCCAGACTTGGCAGCCGGATCAATGGGCCGAGAAAGAGGCGGTCGGGATAAAGAAATGGCTTGGGTTTTCTGTGTCATCTTTTCCAATATAGGAATTGGCGAGCGGAGTGGCCAGAGAACCTTGAGCATATCGACCATCATAACCGTGCTGATACAAGCCACATGTGGTTGCTCTGGCGCATGGCTGTTGTGTTAATCGAGACTCCCGGAGGTCGGGGAGCAAACTCGATAAACAAATCCATGGCTGGATATTGATTGAAGGGCTAGAAGCTCACGATACACGACTTGGAGAAAAGAGAACTGGCGGGGACTTTGAAACTGGTCTCGCGATGGCCGGGTTCTCCGCGGTCACGGTCACGGTCACGACCATGTGGTTCAGAGGTCGGACGGCGAAGAAATCGAATGCGGGCGCCTTTTGCAAGCGAAACACAGCATTTTCGCCGATTACTGGGCTATTACGAGATAGAACTGCGGGTCGGAACCAATGGACATGTCAGGTCTGACAGAGCACGAGCACCAAGTTTGATAGCACAGCATGAATGAATGCACTCAAGAGCTGCAGCCACCACGTCTTGTGCTTGTGAAAGCCTGTTTTGTTCTCTCATCTGCCTGGTGCATCAGGCAGGGAGGAGGATGAGCTGTTGGCCATGGATTCAGTGGTTTTCTTCCCTCTTCCCTGGATGAATCAATTAATCCATGCCAACAAGGGATGGATGGAGGTCAATGTCGCATCATAACATGATCCCTAGCGTATCGGTCCCGTGTCACTAGCGCGCACCATAATGAGACGAAACAACCAATGCTGAGCTAGATGCCGCCATGGCTGTCTCGGCGTGCTGTAGTGGTGTGGAGGGATAGGGCGTTGAATACGAGAGAATGCTTCCCTTGGAGGGATTCAGTTTTCTGAGTTAACAAGAGGTAACTGTTAGGTTGTGGTGGTGGTAGCCTGAGGAACTGAACACCACCTGGCTCACTAATGGCCCAATAACGGGCAACTACTAACCCACCTGACTGTTGCCAGTATGAGTGGTAATTTCATCATTCAATGTAACTATATCTCAAGGTCTTTGATTCAAAATCTTCCAAATAACAAAAAGCACCGACAGTAGTTAAGAGAGAAAGAGTTACAGGTAAAGACATGGTCTACTTAGTTTCGGCATTTCGCAGCTCTCAACCCGTACGTGCATGACGCCAAATCAGCCATGATCCAAGACTGACGAACCAGCCACCGCTGTTCAACTCAGTTATCTGCAGTAAGAAAAATATCGAACTGATGCTCTGTGTCTTTGCACACTCAAGTTATACCACGCTAGCAACTGGAGGGTGAACATATATCCTCTCCGGGAATGGTTGCCACGAGGATGAGGCCTTCATGACATCAGATATGAAGAATATCTTAAAGATCTAAGCTGCTATGACTTAAGCTTGGACAATTCAGCGAAACCGATTTACAATACGAAACAAACTAATCAAGATCATGGCAGGTTGCATGGCAATCAAAGTGCATTGTAGCAGAAGGACTCACTAAAGAGCTGTACCTAGATTGGCGCTCTTCGTATCCTATCCGGGTGGTGTGGTCACTGTTGTAGTCTCTTCTGCGATATCAGCCACATCTTGTAGCCTCACCAGTTGCTAATACAACCTCGATACCGCTATTGCAACTCTTCGAAATCGAAGAAAGTCAATCCCGTTCTATCCGGGTCAAGATTAGCGGGGAGCTCTCAGGCCAAGGATAGCTGAGCATAGCCAAGCACGTTACTAACAAGTTTACTGTATTTCTTCCAACTCTTGGACCTTCACTTGACTTTGACTTTCGTGTCCGCTTGTATCCCAACAGCACGTGTGGGTGTGCCCACTCTGTCGATTAGTAGATAGAGCTACTGCAGTGAGAGCTCAAGTTGTTGTGCTCCAGAGACTCATCATTGGCTGGTCTCACATGCCATGCTTTCTTTTCCCCTCCCTCTATGCAACTAGTAAATCAGGCACAGCTGAGCTGTGTGTACCTTACAGCAGGACGAGAGCACAGACGGAACAGCTCAGGCGTTGTTGTGTTGTATCTGTGCTGCGCTGTGATAGCTGATCATGTCTCATCACTTGCAGTATGCAAAGACAAGAGGGACATTGTGAGGCCCTGAATTGGACAGAGAGAGCATCCCTTAAGCACTGTATCACTCAAAAACAATAGAGTTGATCGCCCTAAGACAAGACCCAGTCGTATCATGACTCCTCATGCAAGGTCATGCAGGCTCCACCAATGGTCAACCTCGTCACTTTCTGATATCCATCCCTCCACAGTGAACCCATAGTCATATTAAAACGAAACAAAACGATTTGATGAATTATATCTTTTAGAGTTATAGTATCAGCATAAGGCTTCAAGCTTATTTCCCTCAAGTCTCAAACGTCATGACTTTTTTACCTTTTCCCGGCCCCTTGTCAGCTTCCCTCTTTCGTTGTCTCCGCCCTTGTATTAAGCTGTTGTCGAGGAAATGTCACCAATGTTTGCTACCTTGCTAAACATTAGGTAAAAAAATTTCGCTGACTCTATCTCCCACCGCTGTGCATGCCTCCCGTAGGACCAAGAGCTTCTTACTTCTCTGCTTCTTTCGGTAGTTTCCGTTCCGAGAAATGGTTGCGCTTTGGACCCCAATGTAAAAGCAAACCTCGTGTTGGTGTTAGCAATGAATAAACGCACCAAGTGCAGCAGACTTACACAGAGCAAGGATATGAACTAGCTGCACGTGGAAACTTGTTACTGCATAACCACATGGCCGTAAGAAAATAGTTGATTTACATGGGTAGTTTAAAACTGGGCAAGGACTCATCACGATTGACTATGGGTAAATGGCCTGTATTCTGCTTACAATATGCATGCCTGCCTTACCACCCATTGAACAGCATCAGAAAACTCGTGATGTATGCATATCCAAGGCTTAGCAAAGCCCTACAGCCTGGGCGTTGTCATAAACTTGACTGACTTGCTAAGAAGTACTCAAACTTCTGGTCGGATGTTACCCTATTGGACCTCCTACACACCTGTGCATCTTGATGCTTCCTCGCTGGTGAGCTTCCAGCACATCAAAGAACATCCTTGGTTTCTCGACGTTTCATTGGAAATTTTACTTCAATTACGTCTTCCACCGGAATCACCTTAGCCATGACTTTATGTCCATATATTCGGGTCATATTCCACCCTGCTCAATATCACCTCTCCAGGGTAACCATCCTCCACCTTCTGTGCTACTCTATGTGTGAACCTCATGACCATAATTTTGGTATCATTTTGCTGTCTTGTATTCATAAGCCATCGCCATGCCATATCATGAGACAAATGCAATCTTAGGCTTCCATCATGTTTTCCAACCACAAACATATCGCTTTTAAACCCAGTGCATATTGAAGCTTTCAAGCCACAACCACTAAGGTAACATCCTCAGTAGCAAACCACACCAATCAGACAACACCCCTTAAGCCTTGAGAATCTTCTTCAGCTCCTCAACAACAGCATCACCAACCTCCTTTGTGGTAGCGTTACCACCCAGGTCCTTCGTGCGCAGACCACCATCCAGAGCCACACGGACAGCCTCCTCGACAGCCTTGGCCTCCTCAGGCAGGTTGAGAGAGTATCGGAGGAGCATGGCAACGGACAGGATCGTACCGATGGGGTTAACAATACCCTTGCCAGAGATATCAGGGGCGGAACCTAGTTAACTCAATCAACTTTCCAAATTCAACAGAACAGGAGAATAAGAGATCACTCACCGTGGATGGGCTCGTAGATACCGTTACATTTGCCCTTTCCATCAGGAATACCGCTCAGGCTAGCACTGGGCAGAAGGCCAATGCTACCAGGGATAACACTAGCCTCATCACTGATGATATCACCAAACAGGTTGCTCGTCACAACGACACCGTTAAGGCCAGTAGGGTTCTTCACCATGATCATAGCAGCACTATCAATCAACTGGTGCTCGACCTTGAGATCAGGGAACTCCTTCTCAAACGTCTCCGACATGACCTTTCGCCACAGGCGACTTGTCGCAAGCACATTAGCCTTGTCAAGAGACCACACCTTCTTATCACCGCGACCACGGGCAAGGAATCCAGCCAGACGGGCAACACGCTCAACCTCAGCACGGGAGTAAGGTTCAGTGTCCCATGCTGAGCCGGAACCATCGTCCTCCTTGCGCTCGCCAAAGTAAATACCACCTGTGAGTTCACGGACAATGACAAAGTCTGTGCCGCGGCATACGGAGGCCTTGAGGGGAGAGGCGTCGACCAGAGAGTCGGAAGCGAAGAAACAAGGTCGCAGGTTGCCGTATGTGCCCATCTCCTTGCGAAGCTTCAGAAGGCCTTGCTCGGGTCGGACAGCGCCGGTGCCCCATTCGGGGCCGCCGATTGAGCCGAGGAGGACGGCGTCGGCGCCCTTTGCGGCGGCGAGGGTCTCGTCGGTGAGAGGGGTACCGTTGGCATCGATGGAGCACTGAGAGAGAATGTCAGCTCTGGGTGTGTGCATGCAATGTGAGCTCAGGACTTACACCACCCATGAGATGGTTCTGGAGGTTGAACTTGCCAACGCTGGGCTTGTTCTCCTCAAGAGTCTTGAGAACCTGATTGACTAGTTAGTCATTGCGCTCTTTCCGTGAGCTGTCGCACATGTTTTTCTTACCCGAATGCCCTCAGCAACAACCTGTTCGTAGTTAGCAGACGTACGAGCTTTCAGCTCTAAAGCGACATACCTCGGGACCGCAGTGGTCACCAGCCAGCACGACAATGTTGTGTTCCGCCATTTTGAATTGTACTTGAAGCTGTTGAGTTAATTGATAAAGAGAGGAAAAAGAAGAGAAAGAGAAGAATCGACTGTTGGAGCTTGTTTTCTGAACCTCCGTTGCTGCCCCGCATCACCAACATTCTTCCCCGCCATTCCGAGATCGGAGGGCATAAGCTCCGCAGGCCAGCTCTTGATTGAGTGGCCCGCTCGGGCCTTACGGCAGAGCTAATGGAAGTGGGCATTCACGGCATTGGCCAACGAGAGAAGAGGTCAAGATCATTTTGGGTAGTAATCGGAAGCTCTGGAGTTCTCCATGTTTCGAAGACTCGATCATAGCTAAGATTCCTGACTATTCCTGTTGTAACTGTCACACGCGTGGACTATTTGTTTGCCGTGTTAGCTCCTACACAACCCCGATGCATGTGCTCACTTAGGTCCTCTTCTAAACATCTGCGGATTGTTCAGCCCTGCATGTAGTATTTTTGTCTGAAATGCCAATGTTTATGTACTCGATCAAAAGCATGCCGTTATCCAGTACTCCTGTCATCCAGTCTACTCCTTCAAGAAATGCTCATACAACCTGTTGCCTTATCGAAACGCCCTAAATGATTTGCTCGCCAATGGAGACGCTACAGGTACAGCTCCCGTCAAGCTTCCACGTCCCGTATCTCGCATCCGGCCTCCTCGCATGTTCGGTGTGTTAGCACAGAATGAGCAGATATATACTCTTGGTCGAGTCCTGAGGTTGAGATTGATACACTTTCCGTGGAGCCACATTTCACAGGACTCGCTATATTGGGTGTCAGCTCCGTTCATGTTAAACCGTCAACAGTCATTTGCTCTGGCGGCTAGAAGCTGGGCAAAACTTACCACTGGATCATGAAGCCGTCCCCCTCGTCAGCCCCCTTTCGGCTACAGAGACATCTAACGTGTCTGTCTGTTATAAGGCTTGACTCGGTAAGGGTCGACGGCGAGTTGCTATCACCTCGAAAAGGACCAAAGTGGCCGCCTTGGAACGAACGGTGTTGTCCTCCTTGTCCCATTGGATTTGATCGCTTTCTTCGATCTTCCATGACCTTACGAAGCTCGCTGGCAGCATCTCCGATCTTGTCCTTGCGCTCATACATCATCGTCTCATTCTCGCTGTCTGCATCATGTTGCGATCCTCCTATAGTATCATGTATACTACTCGTGCTTCTGTCGCTAACACTACGTCGTGAAGAGTGAAAGATGGACCCAACTGGTCTCAGGGGATCAGGTAACGCAAAGGACGCATTGAACGAGTTGTTCCTGCTAGGAATAATTATGGGCTCGTCGTCAGAGGATGATTCGTCATCGTCAGAAGGACCCAACTCTCGCGGTGTTCGACTCCTATCTCGAATGAGTCCCGGATGATTAGCACTGGGCTCCCAGTCCCACTCATTAGGTACGATCGTTGTCTCTGCGCGGGCTCTGCCCCTCGAGTCGATGGTGAATTTCACAGCTGTTCGAGTGGGTTGGTGTTGAAGTGCTGGCCCTTCAGGGATAGAGGCCAAGCCTGAAAGACGGTGCTGGCTCTTCATTGGAGACAGTCTTCCAGTTGGTTTGGCTATAGGCCGGTTGGGGGGTGCACTGTCGCTATTGGACCCGTTGCTGGCTTGTGAGACTGGCCGGGCCGGTGCAAGTTTGGGTAGCACAGGTCGGTTCTGCGGCTGGGCTCTTTTGCCACGGTTCTCGCTAAAACTCCTACCCATTCCAGGTCGAGGGTTTGCCTTGACGGGGGATGGTGCAAGTGCACGATCCGGTACCTTAGTAGCCCTCAAGTCCTTCATGCTCGTTGATTGCCGGATGTTTTCACCTAGAGGTGTTCTTGACCTCGATTGGAAAATCGTGGCTTCAGCGGAGCCAGCCTGTGTCACTGGGATGAGAGCAGGGTTATCCAAAACAGAATTGTGTGGAGGTTCAAACAGCAATCCGGGGTTTACTCCATTCATGGACTGTCCAAGTCCAAAAGGGTCATCTAGAGGAGCGGAAAGGGCAGCAGACATGGCAGCGCTTGCTGCAGTTGTAGCAGATGCCGAGCTCATAGGCTTCGGGGCAAGAGGACGGTCACGTTGCATTGTTTGCATTGGATCTGAACCTGCTGAAGCGAAAGGTGCATTAGGGTCTTGAAAGAGTGGCACCTCGCTGTTCCAGTCAAAGGAACCTGTGTGGCGGTGATGACCATGCTGAACAGGCGTTGTCTGAAAGACATTGGAAGGCGATGCACTAAAGTCAAAGTCCATACCCATTGAAGGATCCCAGAAAGTGTTGGGTGTGGCAGCAGGTGCTGTCATGGGATATGCAAACATGTCACCAGAGGAAGCCATCAAGGCAGCAATATCATGTTGCTGTTGTTGTTGAGAGTTGCCAGTAAAGTCGGGCTGGCCGAAGTACTGATCATTTTGCATATTGAGCTTGTCGGCGAGCTTCCGCGCTCCCCTACGTCCAGTGGGCGGGGGTGTCGCTGTCTGCGAAGGCTCTTCACCCTGAACTCCGGCTTTCCTAGCCTTCTTGGAGGATTGAGGGTGCTTGGCCGGATCAGGACTGGGCAGGGGCGTTGTATCGGTTATATATTCTTGGGGTACGGTTACTGAGTTCGGGGACGAGGCCAAGCGACGTGAGGGCTCGACCGGCGGCAGTGGTAGATTTCGGTTGGAGAAGTGATTCACATGAGTTGCAATTTCAGCAGCAAAAGTGTCGGTGGATAGTAGCCTCTTGTGCTTGCTAGAAGGCGTGTCGGCACGAAAGTCAACGAAAGAATTTTGAGATCCACGGAGGTTTCCAGGAGTCGAGTTGAACACGGAATATTCTTCAGCAAAATGCGGAGTCCAACCCCCGGCGTCGGTGACTGAACCTTGCCCGGGTTTGGGGGTTTCGAAAACGGGACTGGAAAAGGCGTCGGAGATAGGTGTTTCTGCAGAAGTTGGAGGGCGGTAGCTCGAATTGGCAAAACTGTACAACCCCGGATTGGTCAGTGAATTTGATACGGATGCCATGTTGATGATAGAACTGTTGATGATAAGGGGAAGAATTGGGCAATGTTGTGAATTGAGCTTGCCTTGAAGCCAGTTGATCCCCGCTCATAGCAACTCTAATTGCTTATCATAAAGGCCAGCTCAGTTGCAGGCCGAGGGGATGCTTCGAGTTCGAGGTTGGTGATGTGCACGGTCGGTCACGTTGCCGTAGTAGAGCACTAGCAGGAGCTAAAGTTTATGCAAAAGACTGAAGAATCGAACTGAAAGATATTTGAAATAAGAAAACAAGGTTGAAAGATTGCAGTTCGTTGATCGAGATTGTGTAAGGTAGAATGTCGAGCTCGGCGTGGGCAGGCTGTGACGGGTAGAGAGAGATAGAGAGAGAAAGTCTATTTAGATGTCGCAGGTCGGTCGGTGCTCGTGGGTCATTATACAAGGTCGTAAACGATCATGGAAGGACGGAAGAAAGGCATTAAGGTCTAAGACTGTTTTGCTTGGACAAGCATGATTGTAAGCCACTGATGATAAAAAGAGTAAATGTGGTGCAAAGGGAGGAATGAAGTCGGAATGGAATACGGGATGGATAGGTAAGCCCCGATAAAAAAAGAGGAGGGGCAGGGAAGAGAGACCAGGTTAAAGAAAGGGAGACGACAAGTAAAGCAGGGAGAAAAATAGAAACCCCGCCAAATGACGCCAGAGTAAAAGAATAAATAGAAAGAAAGAAGGATGGATCGTTTGAGTCTAGAGATTGAGACTTGGCTTGTATCTTGTATCTTGTCTCGTTGTCAATGGAGATAGAGGATGATTGTTGAGTGGGATGATGGAGCTGCATGTTGATGGGGATACCGAGGCCAGAGCTGAACAGATGCAGAACTAAAGACAGATAATAGAATGACGGATTATCCATACCTCGAGTTCCATTAAACAGAGTTATTTCATCGGTTCGTAGGTTCGTCTCGTCTCGTCTCGCCTCGTCTTGTGTCGTTCCGTCTCGAGTCCTCTCCTTCTCAACTCTCGTATGCGGTGATGTCGTGATCTTGCGGGTGCCGGCGTCGAAGGTACCCTCTTCAGTTTAGGCAGAAGAAGGTTGAAGCGGTCCGTTCGTTTGTTCGCTTCGAGTCGGTAAATTCTCGATGGGAATGGATTGGATGGATTGGATAGGATAAGACTGCACGGGACAGATGCAGTGGATACAGTACGTGCCCGACCTTCCTATTTACAACCTTCACCTGAGCTGAACTCTGCAGTTGAGCTGCTGAGCTGTTTGCAGAACTACTGTATATATCTGGCTGTATAGAAGGATAGAAAACAAAAACAACTGGGAGACAAATACAAGAACCAGATAGGGCTGAGCAAATAAAAGCTATGAACATTTATTAAAATGAATCTACAACTTCGAGATCGTAGGCTTGGTGGCGCATCAGCTCCTCTTCCTCCTCAACTTAGCCGTTGTTGGGCAACCGCGGGCAAAGCTCTTCAGGGGGCTTCAGTGCGCTACGGGCCTCTGCTAGCCAACCGCTGGAACAGACCTAGACTAGAAGAGGCATTGCCCGAAGCCAACGGCTGAGCTCGTGAGCTGAGAAGATAACAAAAACACCAACTATTTAGGTATCCAACGCGATAGCCGTTGATTCTGTCATTGCGAGTTGCTATTCTCTAAAGTAAACTGTGACTGGTTACTCTTGAGTTGTGATGAGCTCAGCAGCTGAAGGAGTTGTAATAAAACTATCTCATGATGGTTGCACGCTATGACTCCCGTCATAGATAATTAACTACCTGGAATAGGCGATATATCCCGATATGCTTCGATAGTATATAAATCCGCGGAACGCCGTGTTGACTGATCATGATCATGATTATGATAAGGACAAGTTTCCCCTTCAAGACACGGATGGATGCATGTATGTAAAAGGCAACTGACTGCGCTTCTCCAACCATGGATACAAACACCCTGTAACTGCATCTCTCACCGACTGCTGACAGCCAACCGACAAGTTTCCGAAACCACAATCAGCTCACCACTTTGTCATCATCGGCTCTCGTCAACTGTCAGCCATAGAAAACTGATTCAGCCGCATGTCTTGAAAGGGTAATAATCAACAAGGCAAGCCTATCTTGAGACGTGAGCATCAGGTCCAGACGTTGCTTGAGAAACAGGTCGTGTATCACGTCACATATTGAGGCTTGTCAGTAATTAAGAAAAGCATATTGGTAAATATACATGGTCTGGTGGCCTTGCACTCGTCATCATTGCCTGGTTGTCGGGGCTCTCTCATACTAGTCGGGGAGCCGGCGACTTTATAGGTTGCCAATGTTTTCTTTTTAAGCTTCATAGCTATGGTACTCAAGTTATTCCTCCAATGACTTTATTAATAGAATACGGTCATATGATGCAATAATGTCTGCTCAGTTCTCCTGTTTCGTCGAACAGCAACAGCCTGAGGTGGCTCAATATTCATCGGGGATTTGTATGGACATACCACTGTCTGTCTGCCTTGCCTTCAACTTCACATGTAATTGATGATGAGTGAGACATTGACTCAACAATTCTCATGGCTGCATCTTAGAGCCAACATGCTGCTAAGAGTCATGATACCAGCAACGTTCTTTGTTAAGGTTTGAACGGGACGGATCGAACGGTAAAGTCTGCGGATAGTAACAAACTCAATAGGAGTAAACTATGGACACTCCTATAACGGGCGCGGAAGTGTTGGCTCAGCAATCAATCACAATGAAACTTTGGAGGTTTTGAGGGTTTCATAGATGTTACTCACCACTTTCTCAGACACAATCACAATCCGTATGCAACTTGACTCTACGACATCAGTCGGCATTTGTCTTTTATACATGTTCTCTGAAGTTTATGTGACTTTCACGTGCCTCTCACAGAGAACCCGCTATCAATTCCAGCCAGATGGTAAGGTGAAGAACCACAACGGCTCATGATTGGCCGCCCACGATCGACAAGATGGTGTGTGTCTTCTGTAAATAGACTTTTCTCGACCGGGGTTTTAAGTGCTTGCATTTCCATTCCACTGGACATTCCAACTATATTCATAGCCATTTTACTATTATCGTCCTCATGTGTTCTAACATGTATATAATTTATCACCTCTAAGTATTTTCTCGTGCTTTTTGCTTTGTGTCACGAGATTTCATACTTGGTGGGCATCTTACACATATATTTGTCAGTTTCTTAATTGATCATAGTCTCTTTACAAGCGAGGTTATCGTGACCTGGACGGAGTCTGCCGTAAACATCTACCGAGAGCCAAGTCTGTCCTCTCCATCCGAACAAACGTGCACCGATGCCTGCAGTAGGTATAACATATTTTGTGTATATGGTCTTTGCACTTCACATCACCCTGATGAACATAACCCCCGTATAACACAACTGCCTTATACGACACTATACCACAACCGTCTGTCAGCTTTATTCGCCCCCGGCCGGCTTAAACGTTTCCTCCATCCGGATGCCGCTCCCCGAACCGGCCCCATCCGGAGTCTCCTCCGCCAACGCATGAATATGGGAGATTAAGCATTTGTTTCGTCTCTACTCGATTCACACCCCCACGATCGAGAGTCCTGTCACTCTTTCTCTTGTCAACACCTCTTTTGCCTCAATACAGAAACTCTATTAATTACAAGGATAAAATGCTTGTTGATTGCCGGGAATGGCCTTGCTCGTCGACGATGCGTTGTTCAATTCCCAACCCAGTCTCGCTTCGTTTGTCCCCGCAAAGTGAAAGATGACTTGACAAAAGTTTAACCAGCAGTTCAGGGTTCAAAGGTAAAGTACGTTTCAGAAGCGAAGAGTGAATTATTGAGAGACCCACGCACGTGTTGTGTTCCGTCGGCCAAGTTACGAAATCTACACCGAATTGTTCCGTCTGAGAATACCAGTTAATTAACGCTGTATTATGTTTCCATTACAAACACTGGGTTCATGGCCCTGGCTCTTCTCGGGCCTCGGGTACCTGCATCAGAGCATGCCAAGTCAAAGCCGTGACTGATCCTGATGCTCTCACGTCAATAGCAGAAACAACATGTGACGATATCTTCCGTCTCCTTAATACATCAAACTGTGCCTCTTCTCGCTTAACTTCAGTATAATATTACAAGAAATCTGTTAAGAAATAACACCCAATTCGCCTACCTTGCTTGTGCTTGGTAGTTTCAAGCAAGGCAATTGGATGTTAGCACATACCAATTTCTGCAAAGTCCCCTCCTAAGGCTCGCATATGAGTTCCTGAAACGGAATCTGGCTGCCTTGACTAGACTGTTGGCACGATCAACAAGGGATCTCCGCTTCCCGCTCACAGGCTTGTCAGCCTTGGATATTCAAGATCTTGTCCAATTAACGATATAACGGAAAACACCAAACATTCTCCCCAGCGTTACAGTACTCCCCTGGGACTGGCAGAAAGCTTGCCGATCTCCCCTGGCCAAAAGATCCTTGATCTTAATATAATCAACTTGTACTGCTACTCTCTCTTCCTCCAAGACGAATAATGCCCTATCAAGAACCGCCGAGCATCGTTCCAGCCCCTCGCGGTGCCACTTTTCCTTCTGCAAAGCAACATTGCATAGTTGCAATGGGCTGACAAGCCAGTCCTTGTGCTGTAATTAATTCATGTCACATCGTGTTTTTTGCCCTCGAAACAAAACGGATCCGACGATCCTTTTCATAAGGCGTTTCACGAAGACTTCCGTTTTTCACTGTCAAGTACGGAGCAGAAGTCTCCGCCACTCATATGAGCCAAGGTGCAGGCAAGATGGAGAGTGCAAAATCAATAACAGTGATATTGGGTGACCGTTGCGTAGCTATTTCTGTCTATGTAAATCCATGCCTTTGACTTCGACTGGCCAGCAGCATCGTCCATCTTGCTCGTTTCATTCATCAGGCTCTTCCCCATGGGAAGGCTCCTAATCCTAAACCGACTATTCTATCTAGTGCAGCAAAAGCAAAAACTCCTGGGTATCTCTCAAAGTGAGCAGATGTAGAAAAAGAAAGAAAAAGAAGATAATAAAAGAAGAAGTAAAAAATGATATAGTGGATCCTCCACTTTTTTCCCAGGTTCCCTTTCTGACATGTACTTTTCCCAAGTTTCCCCTAGCTTCGAGTATGGGATGGCCTCGTCCACGTGGTTATCCCATACTCGAAGCTGGGCGTTTCCTCCTCCTAAACAACATAAGCGAGCCCTCAGAGGCAAGACAAGAAACAGAAATTAAACAGAAAACTTTAAGCTCAGGGATCAACAACCTTGTCCCTGGCTTCAACTGGTATCAAACATCATCTCAAGATCTTTTCGTAACGTAACGAGTGTGGTGCCATCCACGACAATACATGTGCTGTCGTGATACGGCGGAAATCAAAAGGAAAAAGTCTAAACTGTAAAAAGCAGAGTCGTATCGAGTTAAATCATGTTCGGAAATGGTTCAGTCGTAAGGACGTTTCCAGACATCGGATCAATAGTGTAGTGCTCCTGAGGAGCGAGAACAGAGGTGACTTGAGGGTGAGACGTGATCTGGGACATAGTAGAGGGTCTAGGCGTAGTGGCAAGCTCCATCGAGGAGACAGGCATCTGGGGCGTCATGGGTCGTTGCTGTTGAACTTCAGTCTTGGGCTTGGCCATGGTCGACATGGCCAGCGCCCTGGCGTTGCTGCTTTCACGGCGACGCTTGGGTGTGTCTTTCACCTTGAGGTGAGTGTGACACTAGATATTGTTAGTGAATGCCCTTTTTGGTGGATTCGTCCGACTTACTTTGTACGCGTGTCTAAACCAAGTGGTTCCCTTCTTCTTGCTGCTGACAAGTGCAATCCACTGCTCGCAGCTACCACAAAGACCCTCCCAAACATCAGGGTTTCCATCCATGCGTCGCTTCTGTTGGGGTTCCTGGAACGAACTTCCGGTGGCGGCGCTAATACCGTGAGAGAAAGACTTGTCATACCAGAAGGCAGAGTTCTTCAGCACGAGCCATCGTCCAGGCTTGCAGATTCCACACCAGCCCTCTCGCTTGTTGCCGTGACCTCGAACCCATCTAGGGGTGTAAAGGTCGCCCTCAAATCGCAACTCCTGCTCGCGGGGAATCATATCGGGATCCTCGGGGTTCATGTCCTCAGGAGGTGGAGGGATCTGCTCTTCTCGGAGAGCAGCATACAGCTCAGGAGGGTCAGAAAGGTCGGTGTAATGACCGTTGAGGCAAGCGGCGTCTCCGTTGCTCTGAAGCATTCTGAAAAGACCATGAGATAGAAGGGGCTGAGGCGGGGCAAAATGGTTGACGTCGGTCTGCCAGGGCTGCTGCTGGGCCATCTGAGATGGAAGCTGGGTCGGAAGCAGCATGCTGTTTCTCTGGTAGACGGGAGTGCTGGGAACAACGAAGGGTGCTTGCTGCATGGCCTGGAGGTTGCCGTAGTTGAGAGGCAGAGGAGCGGCACCGATGGCGGGAGAGGAGTGGCCGGAGTACATGTGCTGGTGGCTGTTGTAGACATCCGGGCAAGCATGGTAAACGTACTGGGCAGGCTTGCGGCTCGCCGAGGTGTTGTAAGTACCGGTAGACCATCGCTTGAGTCTTGGCCCCTCGACGGTGTAGGGAGCAGATCGTATATTGCTGGGTCGAGGAGAAGGAGAGGCACCGCGGCCACGACTCTGAGTCCTCACGAGGTCGGTTCTCGACTGAGGAGTCATTCGCGGCGAGGCAACGGGCGAAAGCTGGGTGGAAGACATCATAGAAGTGCGGTTAGAAGGAGGCGGATACTCAGAGCTGAAGGAGGGCGCCTCAGAGAGCGCTGCCGAGAAGTCATCGAGAGGCATGTCGGAGAAGGCTCCAGAAGTGGACATCGAAAAGGAAGAACCGGACATTCGACGCTGCTTTGAACCATCATCAATGGCCATCAGATCTTCCTCGACAAGTGTTCCCTGCTTCAGGTCAAGAACAGGGATGGCTTCATCAGCTGTAAAAGAGCTCATTCCCATGGTCATGTCGTAGTCCATGCCATGAAGATCAAATTGATCTTCGACTGGCTTTTCCATCCACGACGCTGATTCAAATTAGTTTGAGTGATATCATGAGGCTCAATTTTACTTACAGTTATCCATAGTTGTAGGAGGGTAAAAGTCTTGATGCATAGATCCAGGACGTGACATAGTCTCACTGGGGGTTTGCTGGAATGAAACTGAAGATGAGTCCCAAGATGGTACTGATGAGAAGTTCTCGGCACCGCAGAAAGAGAATCCTTGATAGATAGGCATAGGGCGAGGCTTAGACTGAGTGGCCGGTGTTGACCACATCTCGTCCGAGCCCAGCACGGATTCGTTTTCGGTAAATTCGTTTGAGTTCATGTTGATTATAGGCGTAGGCCTAGATAGGTATGCAAGCCAGCTGTATAAATACTATCACAGATAGAAAAGAAAAGTTGTGTCAACTTTGGTGTTGCTGCGTGGATAAACTGTAAGTATTTTGTGCATATGGCTTAAAGGAAGGACAAGAAAGTATGAAGCATACAGGTAGGGTGGTGGTAAAAGCAGGAACCCAAGAGTCCTTACAGGAGCGAGCCGTTAAACTATTATGCAGAATCTATCTGGCAAGGGCAGGGTGGTGTCAGCATGAATCCTCGATGAGATGGTGGACGATCATGGTAAACTGGCAAGCCCAGGTCCACATCATATCTGGATCTTCGGGAGTGCCGCGGGACATCTCGAGCTTACCTGGTCAACTAAGAGAGCAATGGCCAAGTCGAATGTGGGAGTAATTTCCGGGCAGTCGACATGCGTTGTAAGGAATGGATGTGTTGTAAGGAACGATCACAGTCGATTTGGGGATGTCAGGCGGTTAGGGTATAGTAATATGTACTATCGAGTAAACAGGATCCCTTGGACTGATGACAGCGGAGACTGACGCGTAGAGAGTGAATCGGTTGTTTGTCTTTTGTAAAGGAAAGTGGCGTAGTTGGTTTAAGCCCTGTATATGAAGGAAAGGATAGCTAGACTTGGATAGCGGTGGGTGGGCTTGCTATATTATACGGTTTGATGACATGCAAGTTTTTGTGTTAAGGAATGACTGGAGACAAAATGGACGAACAAAGTTAATGAGCTGGTAGGTTTGCGGAAGAAGCGAAAGGGTAGCGGAGCCGGAACCTGGAGGTATAAGAGAAGACGTGTACGATGGGCAAGAGGCATCATCCATGGAGGCAAGGAAGCTCCGCAAGTCAGGGACGGTCACCAGGGGAGAGGTTTGGATAGACGGGAGGGGCTGTACCGAGTGGATTCCAACACGCAACACAGACCGATCTATGAGCTGGTACAAGAGAAAGCGGATACATAGCAGAGGAGGGGGCTATCCAGTGCAAAACAGAGTCGCAGCGCTGCTGGGATAGGATGGGGCCTAGCAGGTTGCGAGTACAGTAGGAAAGTTCGTCAGTAAGAGTCAAGGAAGTTGAGAAGCCGGTGGAGCTAGAGGACAGGGGTACATGCAGGGATTCTCATGACCCCGGACTAGGGACAATAAGGCCACAGCTTCCAGTCAGCAGGGCTAGAAGTTGTACTAAAAGAAAGTTAGATCCTGTAAGAGGGCGTGAAGAGGATAACAACGATATCGAGAGGCAACCGTGGAAGATGAAGCTGCAAGACGATGGTCCTGTATAATACCAATTGATGATTCCAAACCGACTCCAAGACGACCAAGAGTGGCGCAGGCTTCAAGAGTGTATCGACAAGGGGCTCGATCGGGCCACTGGACCGTCCAGTCGGGCTGCACAACAGCAACTCGACGGAGGTGGCTTGTCTCATCCTCTGAAGAAACAAGAGGCGACGAGGGACGTGTGGATGGACGGGCGGGCTAGTGAGTCGACGAGGTCGAAATTCAGTGTGTCGACTCAAACTGAGCCACGTTAGACCCGTCTGGGGTTGACAAAACTTCCGACGACAGCGGATTCAAGCTGTAGACACGCCACATCTGTTGACCGACACCCAGACCTTGGGTGCGATAACTTGATGCCTCACCTCGGCCGTTCTTCTCGACACGCCCCCAAAAATCGGCCGGCACGCCCCCTTCCAACCCCGGAAGAGGGACGATACCCTCTAGAGTCGAGACAGGCCAGGGTATAGCAGATGCAGTATGCTATTTTTCACAACAGTTGAAACCGCTAAAGCCCGGATGTTAAGGCTAATTGCTCGATCAAGTCAATCCAGGAACCGAACCGAGTTGCAGCGGGATCGCCTACCGCCTGAGCGCAGACCTCTCGATATATCTGCAATCACGGCAATATGGCAATATCGTACATATGTCAAAAACCCCATCCTCTGATCCCCCGCATGAGGGGCACCTAGATGGCGAGATGCCAGTACTTTTGTCATCATCGTATGGCGGTTGTCCCTTAAGGAGCTTGACGGAAGATTTGATCGCTTTCTGAGGTAGCAAAGTCGGAGGCAGCCGTATAAGCAAAGCGGCAACTTCTCACGGCAATGTCGGTGTTTTTCTTGAATGATAGGTCATCGGCAGACTGGTGGCTCAGCATGCATCTTGCTTGGGACAAAGCAACACCATTCGCATCGAGACAGCAGGCGATGCGCCCTGAATTCTGGGCTTAGCCAGTCGATTTCGAAAGCAGGTGTGACATTGTAGAGGCGGAGAGCGAATCACACGCACAGTCGACCTGTAGCATCTATATCCTCAGGCGCTGATATAGACTGAATTATGAGTTATCCAATTTAAAGTAACTTTGAGGCTCTCGATCTCCTCCCGCTAGGCTGATGGAGGGTATATTCGACTGAGACACAGAAGCATAGCTGAGGCTACTATTTCCGTTCTCTTGGCTGATGTTTATCGAGGTGCTGTGATCACATCCGAGATGCGCTGGAGAGCCAAGGCAGAGGTTGCAAGCGTAGCAAGATGAGGACAAGCGCGTGTTTGAAGTTGTAAGAGAGTGGGTCACGGAAAGCCATCTGATTTGCAGTGGCGGGACAGGGGTCTGGGGCAAGAAGCGGGACGAGTATCTTGTTCCTACCGTTTTGGCGTAGAAGCCGTTATTCAGGGTATCTGATTGGATATCACTGACATGTCTCAGCTGCTAGCAGGGAGACCGGCGTGTCTCAGATCTGTGTCAAGACCAGGGGTAGATGGATGAGGTCCACTGATACGTCGAACAATGTCCACTTAAAACCCACAGACTGATTTCGTGGCTCATGTTTAAACACCCACAGCCCACTAGAAGCTCACTGGAACAAGCTCACCAACAGCGCCTTTGCGCCTGGAAAGCCACATCTTACAGGCGAGTCGATTAGGCGAGGACCACGTCAGAGCTCAATCCGTCTGAGCACATTTAGATAGTGGATTTCAATTAATTGTTGTGGATCATTTAGGCTATGAATAGCAGATGGCGTTCACTTTCTCTTAGACAAGAGCATCTCCAAACAGCCAGTCCTTTCATCTTGACAGTCTATCGCTCAGTCCGCAACCGATCTCGATTTGTTTTCATCTCGAATGTTTTAGTCTATTCTTCAGCTCTACTACTAAATTTGCTACACCTGAAGATCCGTTCCTACCATAGTCGATACGCCTGAACGTCGAACGACACCACGATTCCTTCATAGAAGAGGAATCCGCTATTGTCACGATTTGTATAGAAACCCCCATCTTCGACAAGCCTTCAGATCATCTTCACATCTCACAACAAGTGCCGGATCCTCTCTAGGGGTCAGGGAATAGCCCAGTTGATACTGTTACATCGCCTTGAGACTCCGTTGTTTTCCTTTGCATCCATATCATCCGACCAGTGCTTCCCCTCGTCTCATATCCATAGCTAGGCATGTAGGGAGGGACCTTCTGTAGAGTCTCATTCGCATATTCACTTTTACGCGCAACAATTTATTCCAGCGCAACGCGTCATCTATTTGTCAGTATGTTACGAACTGTTTCTTGAGTTTTCCGTGCCTGAGCTTGTGCCTGAGCTATGATAGCTCTCCACAGTGAGCACGGTGGTTTCTTCCATAGACTTGGGTTGACGCCCGACTGCTTGGGACATAAACGAGGCTGTCAATTGACGCGACAACAATAGACTTGCATAATCGTTTATAAACACGTCAATGCTCAAGCTGTTGAAGGTTTGTTTAGATGCTCTGATAGTGACGATATCGTGATCTTGATCTTCCTGGATGTGCTGCACCCTGCGGCCGTCAACCTCAGGACGGCTAGAGGATGCTCTGCCCGTTTCCGCTTCGAGATAAGCTGTATCGTAAACAGGAAGTTACAGGATAATCTGCCGTGCACTAACTCCAACAGAATTTCTTTCTGCATCTTCTTCAAGCGTTCCATAATTCTTCTATGGGTCGCCCGGTAAGGCCGTTTTGTGGCCAGGGTCTCATACATCCGTTCCTGAATCACTACTCAAATGGGAAATTACACCACCACCTTTTGGGAGTGAGCATGATTCAAGCCTTGTCAATTCTCTCAAAATGGACAACATGAACCAATTGCGACACTTTAATCTCCCCGCAATGAACTTCTTTCATTTTCTTGCTACGTTACATACCTAACACCCTGGAAAGAATAACTTCTGGAAGGCCTCTGTATCTGTCACAACGTTTCCGTCTATCCCCCAGCGCTTGGAGCTTCTGGAAATAGAACAGCAGAAACATCGCCCACAACGGGTCCGATCCCCTTAAAACATTAATATATTTAACAAACTCTCAGGGAAACGTTAATGTTATCATGTCCCGGTCATAGCCCTATCATGCCGAACCGGTCTTGTGTTCCCTACCTTAGCCTGTGCTGTTGGTTGCTGCTTGCGCGATGCAACAGTTACTCCTTGTTGATCCTCTTCCACACTTCATGCTCAGCTGCAGCAAGACTCTCGCCTGCAGCCGAAGCCCACTTCTTGGCGGCCGACCAGACTCCTTCCTCATCGTCTCCTACCAGAGATGGCCTGCGCTCATGTGCAACTGATGCTTCGTGAGCCGCACGCTGAGCACTGGAGAACTCGGACGCATGCACGTTTTGGTGATAACCAGGTGGATGAGAAAAGTCGCTTCCGGAGCCTCCGCCTGGCACGGCCGTCGGGCCTAGGCCAGCCATCGGGAACGGGCCAGGAACAGGAGCTGTGGTCGTCGCTGAACGAGTAGCGGCGAACTCCGACCCACTGGATATAGGTGCATAGGGCATCTGTGCTGGTGTAAACTGTGTCTGTGTCTCGCGCATAGTCTCGCCAGTCTTTGGAGGTGGTGGTAAATATGCTCCGTTATGCGGCTCCGGTACAGCTCCCGGTTGCGGGGCTGGAGGGCTCGAATCTACAACTGCCCGTGTTGGAGTTGGCTGGATGTTGGCGGAAGGTTGAGATGCCCCAGTTGGAGCTGGCATAGACGGACGAGCGCCTGGCTGAGCTGCCGGGTAAGTGGAAGTCGGCACTTCATTGCTTGCTGGTGCTTGAGCTGGTGCCTCTGAATCGTCTGAGGGCGCCGTTTTTGGAGTGATTCCTGACGCCTTTGCAGCCGTGATAGGGCTTGAGGTGTGAATAGGAATTGGAGGCATGTTGGTGAGTCCTGGACGTTGTCCCTGTGTGGAGGTGTATGGCTGACTCTCCTGTTTTCCGGCGGCTTGTGTTCTTCCAAGGTAAGATTTCGTGTTACCCGAAGTTTTTGAATCTTGTCAAGTACTTGTCCTAAAACATTGAGTGTGATGAGACGTTGTCTGAATAAGAGGGTGGCGATGGATGCCAACTACGTCATGTGATCTGCTTTTGGTGCCTAGCATGCGGTTACCTGCAGTCAGCGGGGAAATGCCGATCAGATTCCCGTCGATAGTTCCGTGCCTTTTTCCTATTTCCAAATGCGGAATACGAGAATTGATTCTTGGACAAACGTTATGCTCTCTACTTGGACTTTGCGATAGAGTGACGTAAGACGCCAATTGGATACACAACTACCCTAAGGTTGCACGGCGTTAGAGCTATTTTCTTCCTCTTTATGGACAATACGAAGGCCATAAAATGGTCTGGCTTTAGTGGAGTATTGAATGCGTTGAGATGATAGGAAAGCTCTGGATTGGAAAAATAACGGCTCTGGCTGAGGAACGATTGAAGTTGAATTATGGCGGGTGAAAGTTTGAATGAAACTATGGCAACGAGGGAGTGGATAGAGGCCTCAGTTTAGAAGTATCGAATCATCTAACCTCATGCTATAATTTGCGAAACGTTAGTAGAGCTAAGCAAGTACTGAAAGAAACCCCGAGTTCAATAGGTTACCCAACTCAAAAACTATCTGGAGCAAGCTGGTGGATATTTCCTAAGATCGCTGAAAGCTGCCCAGGCTAGGATACCATCTGTATATACAACCAATGGATGCTAAGAGCATGATCTACCATGTCATCCATTACATACCTCCCTCGAACCACGCCAAGAAACAGTCTAGTTCTCCGATGACTTATAAGGACAACCCGCAAACGCTTTCGTCTTCACAATTTCTTCAAAACCCTTCGTCTCTTCAACACCTTTGCCAACAACCTTATCAGGACCCAAATCCTCAAAGAGGAAACCTTCGGACTTCATACTAGGCCCACCATCGCCGGGAAGTAATCCACCAGAGAGCCATGTGATGCATGCTTCGGGGTTCCAACGTTGCCAGAAGGTGGGAGGGACATAGAACGGCTCTTTCATGTAGTGATATGACTTGATGCGCCCGGTCTGCTCGTCAGGATCGGAAAGGTATATGGAGGGTGCCAAGCGAGGGGGGCAGAGATAGCGGACGATGAGTTTTCGAACAAGCAAGAGGCTGTATGTCAGAACCGTAACAGCCAACCCTGGCTCTGGGAATCTGGTTTTATGTAAGTATGCTGTGGAAAAGATGGAAATAGCATGAATCTGAAACTTACCCAAATGCTCGTCTCAAGCGAGATCCCATGAGAACACAAGCTGCCGGATACCCAAGGGGAGAAGCAATCTTGGGATACGAATCCAACAACATCTCCATCAACACATGGCCTAGCTTCTGGATTTCCGGCGTAGGGCGCAAATATTTGTCCTCGTAGTCTCCTCCAAAGCATGTCATGTCCTCAAAGAATTCAAGACCATCCGTCCACTCATTCTTCCCGAGCACAGTCTTGTAGTCAATGTCCATCATGTCGGCAACATATTTCCACAGAGTTGACAGGCTAGCAACTTCCATGTCGGTGAGTTTGCGGTACTCATAGATGTTGAGGAACCGAACAGGCTCAGCAAAAGAGGCGTAAAGCACATAGAGCAAATCTTCTTGCTTAATCTTGCCGCTCTTGATATACGGAGCGTGAAGAAAGTTTGTGCGCGCAACCGCTTTATGAAGAATAGGCGACGTGGGAGGGAAGTTTGCGAAACTGTCATCATGTCAGTCTTGATAACCGATTAATGAAAATTCAAGTAAACTCACCAGACATAGACGGCTTCAGTATCTGCATATCTAGTATTTGTTAGTAGAAGTTACAAGTAGTAAAGGTATTTATTACCTCTTAGGCGCTTTCTTTCGGTTAGCTAAATCGCTGCCGCCGTAGAGAACATGAGCGACGGGTTGAACAGCATATGTCTATGTATTGATGTCGTTAACATACAAGCTATGTGTTGACACTAACTCGGTAACTAGTAGTTAGTTGAACGTACCTCAAATAGAGCCAATCGAACCGCAAGGTCATAGAATAATGGGAACTCGAATCTTGCGATATTCTGAACAACTTGAAATGCATCTTGATTTGTCATGCGACTCAATGAGGCACGGTCGTGAAACCCCAACTTGGATCGAAGCGAATTGATTCTGGAGAAACGCAAAAGAGAACAGAGTGCGACATAACCAAGAAGTGCCCCAAGAATGATTGGGCCTGACCAAGAAGTGGGTGCAAAACTGGTCAACAACTCTGAGTGAAGGCTCTCAGACGCTGAGGCCTTCAAGCTTGGCTTTGCTGCATCCATGGTGGTGTTGATAAGCTCTCTTTCAGAGTTGCCGAGAGAGGGGAAGCAACTCAAAAGACAAAGGAGAAGCAAGATCTACGAGAGCGAGGAAAGGAATGTGTACATATTTATGGAACCCTTGTAAGAAGTGCGGCTTTCAACCCGAGTTGGGAGTGTTTTAAACGTGCTAGATCCATGATGCAGAACCCCACTGGCCCTATCAGATGAGGGGCGTTGGCAAAGGCTGCTGTTATACATAGTACAGCAAAAGTTGTAAGTAGCTCATGAAATGATTGTGTGAGACAGAAGAAGTTTTGAGGCTGACGCAACTATGCCGATGTCTAGCAATGGTGTTTGCTATAATTGTTGTTATGCAGTTGAGGTGGATAAGCTGACGACCCGACAACTCAAATGACAACAAACAGTTTGGCAAGCTCTGTTTCTACCTATGCTCACTTACTGGCGGTCGACCGGAAGTGAGGAGGGAATAGCGAAGGTATCCAATAGCAATAGCAGAGGGAACAGAAGTGTTAACTAGGAGTCTTTCAGTAGTGGTCTCCGACATTTGCACATGTCAATATCGCCAACAGTATCTGGATTATTGCTCGTGTAACTCCAGACCAATGTATTCGTCATCGCGACAGAGACAATTGACTGAAATGGAAATTTCATCATCCAGAGCATTGTGTACCGGATATAGTGGTTTAAGAGAGAATACTTTGGCCGCCGATTTAAGCTGTACTCCGCAACTCTATCGTATAACCTCTTGTGGGGAAGAGACGCTATACGGACCCAATCGCCAATGCATGCCAGGTCCCGGGTCATCAAAAGTCCGGATAGTTCGCGCTAAACCCATTTTGCTGCCGCGATCCAGACCATGAATGCGCTCCTGGTGTTTTTGAGAGCTTGTTGAGCGCGCGCTGGAAGCTTCTTCATCACCTCACTATCGATGTGAGCTTGCTCAGCGCTATTTCCACCGCAACATTAGAAAGGTCAAGGCCAATCCATCAACATGGTTGGAAAAGTCAGCGAAAGAGTCCTCCTGCGGGAAGGTATGTTCCATTATCACTTGTCGATAGCGACTCGGCTGTCGCTTTAGACACATATACTGACAAGATTGCTTTAGGTCTTGAGAGGACTGACAATGGCATGAAGCTGACGACATGGCCTGATGTCACCCCGATTAATCAGAAAAACTACTACACGTACGGTGACTCTTTCTAATAAGCGGCCTTTGTCCTGATGATGCTTTGTTAGTGATTACATGAAGCGCGATGACCAAATCCTCGCCCTCCGCCTCCAGAGCGATGCCACCCGAGATCGACTAGTACAAAGTGCTCGAGACCGAGATCGCGCTCTATCCAAGACTGCCAATGGGGAGTTACCACTTCCTGTCGCAGATCTCCCTGACGAAGATGGTGCTACAACACCTTCGGCTGGCCTGGATCCCTCAAGGGTCATTGTGATCCACCCCGGCAGTCAAAATCTTCGAATAGGCTTTGCGAGCGATGCCCTCCCAAAGACAATTCCGATGACACTAGCGACCAAGTTTCCCCAGACCGAATCCGAGATGTACGAGGCCCTACCACGACGACAGTTCGAGGCCAAGACCCCCGACCAACAGTACGGAGAAGAGTGGTCAAAGAAATATAACAAGATGTGCAATGACCTCAAGGTTGAAATGCGAGCCAACAAGCGCAAAGTCCTGCCCAACTCGAAGGAACTTGTTCAGACTTTCAACCGTCGTACCGAACCCGAAGTTATCCAGAAGCACAACGACCCTCTTGAGATCGAATGGACTGATATCGAAACACTTGATGACCCCAAGTCATTAGCTTCGTGCTTTATTGGACACCAAGCGGAGCGTGTTCCCGACGACTCGAATCCCAAATTCAAGCTTTGGTGGCCTATACAGCATGGACAGTGGAACGAAGATGGATATACAAGTCAGGAGCATATGTATGATGATTTCGAAACATTGCTCGACAAGGCATTGAGGCAAGAGCTTGGATTGAAGACAAACAGCGAATGGCAACAGTACAGCTGCGTGTTTGTCATTCCCGACTTATACGACAAGAAATACGTGGAGCAAATCCTGCGATCGTGCATGACCTGGTTCGAATTCTCTAGGGTGTGTTTCGTCCAGGAAGGAATGGCTGCGACTTTTGGTGCCGGATACACACAAGCCTGTGTTGTCGATGTGGGAGCTCAGAAGACAGCCGTGACCTGTGTGGAAGACGGTCTTGTCATCGAGGATTCAAGGATCAACCTGAAATATGGAGGCTACGATATCACCGATACATTCCTGAAAATGATGCTTTACGACAACTTTCCTTATCAGGACATGAACCTGCGACGACGATACGATTTCCTTCTTGCTGAAGAGCTGAAGATTAAGCACTGCACCATGTCACAAGCAGATATTTCTGTCCAACTCTTCAACTTCCATGTCCGGGCACCTAACCAACCAACGCGGAAATACGCTTTCAAGACATATGATGAGGTCATTCTTGCCCCGATGGGAGTGTACGACCCAGCCATCTTCGACAACAGCGCCAAGTTAAGGGGACGGCGTAAGCTGGTCGAGAGATCTTACAACGCCTACGACGTTGATATTCCAGACGATCCCACATCTGCCGCCCAATTAGCGATTCTAGCACTCGTCCAGCCGTCGATAACATCCAACGCCAATGGCTTTACACTGTCACAGCCCGATATCTCAACACCTATCAAAGAGAACAAACAATTCAACTTCCTCGGAGCAAAGGAGGGTATGACCAACGGAACTCCCATGGGTTCTCATGCCGGATCTCCTGCACCGGAGGGCGCCAACACGCCGCTTCCATATGTCTTCGGCAAGGACAGGGAGGGTGTGAACGGAGGTAGCCCAGCGCCCAACGGTTCTCGTGCTGGTGGAACTCCTAATCCCGGACAAACACAGCCGCCAGCAGGCATGTTTGTCGATGCTGCTGCTCGAACCGCCAAATCCATGGCCGCTGAGCGAGACGCCGTGCTACCGGTCGCTCCTCTCGACATTGCCATTCTCACAAGTATTCAGAACGCCGCTAAGGGCGATGAGAAGAAGCTGCGAGACTTACTTGGAAGTATCATGGTTATTGGAGGTGGCGCTAAGATTCCTCACTTTACGGTTGTCCTGGAGGAGAAGATCAAGGCCCGACGACCCGAACTGAGCGATCGAATCCTCGTGAGTCGAAGCGCGAGAGATATGGACGAACAAGTGGTCACCTGGAAAGGTGCCAGTGTGTTTGCTAAGCTGTCGACCAACGACTCATGGATTACACCTTTCGAATTTGAGAGGCTAGGTGCCAGGACTCTTCACCACAAGGTGCTCTGGGCTTGGTAAAACGGGACCCGCAAGATAATGGGCTAATGGAGTTTGGGCTTAGGCATGGAGTATGGGAATCTTGTATCACTTGGAATGCAGCATGGCAGTCGTAGACAGAAGCTTATAGGTTGGGGTGAAAAGCCGCTCGATATATGTATGTTTGTGTTTATTTATATGGTGAACTTACACATGGAGACATGACACATGGAGCTAGCTTGTCCTTAGCGAATCGCGATTACGGTGTAACAACCTCAACGCCACGCGATATTGAGTCTCACTTTTTCAGTATCAGCTACAAACTTCGTGCTCCAAGACCGAGTTAATTAATATCTTACGATACTCTTTCTCTCCAGTGCGATATCGGGTGCATGATGCGTGAAGATTATGTAATGGCCCCGTCATTCGATATCCGAGCTTCAACTGGAATTAGGTAGCTCCCCGGTCATCCGCCCTTATTGTTTAGTACTATTATTGTTTAGGTAGCCCAGCTCTGGCATCCATTTCATCACATCCATCGATCGCGCTTAGCACCACTACGTCAACATTTCGCGTGCCCAAATACCAGTTTATTTTGTGTCTGCAATGTGATATCCCTCCTCTTTCTGAACAACAATCGTTCCGAAAGAACCCCGCCATGTTGCGATATCTACCATTTGCGCCGTCGACGACGCCTCTACAGGCATTGACGTACCTTCTCGGCATATCGCTCTTCTCGATCTCCTTTCTTGTCTTTTTGAACAGCTCTGTTTCTTTTGTTATTACCGACTTGATTGGGCAGAAGGAGGGCGTTGGTGATGTCGTGGGAACCCTTGGCTTCGTCGATGAGCTTGTTGCACTTGTCGCTTGTCCAGGATGGGGTCTTGTGTCGGATCGTCTGGGTGTTAGATGGGTTGCTGTTATTGGATACGCGATAATTGGTGTATCGCTGGCTCTGTTTGTGCAGGCGAAGACTGTATATCCGCAATTGTTGCTGGCTCGCGTGTTATTCGCAATCGGCGCATCTGCAGCGTGAGTTGAGACAGCTTATATCTTACATGAACGAGCAATGCTAACTTTGGAAGGGCTACAATGGTAACTGCGATACTACCATCTTTGACGGACGATAGCAACGACGAGGAGGATGAAGCCCAAGCTAGAATCAAGGCTCTTCAGCATGCGACAGCCCGAAGCAGCATTGCATTCTCTGTAGAATCCGAAGCGACAATCACCCAAGAACGATACACACAGTCGATTTCTGAGCCGAGCACAACAGATACTGCCGATACTGCGGCAGGAAGACCATCCAAGCTAGCAGGATTCGTTGGACTGTTTACTGGATGCGGTGCGCTTGTCGCACTGACGCTGTTCCTCCCACTCCCGGCGCGATTTGGCGAGAATAAGGATACTACACCCGCTGAAGCGGTCTCTTATAGCTTCTATATTGTTGCGCTTGTCGCATTGGCCGTGTCTATCTTTGTTGCGATCGGTCTGCGCAACATCAAAGGTGAGGAGGGCAAGGGTTGGAGGACGCTCTTTGGTCTGAAGAACGAGGACGAATCAAGCGATGGAAACGGTCGTGAGCGACGTGTAAGTCCAACACAATTCGATTTTGGTTGCTTTTTTACTAACCAGATACAGAAGCTTGCGCCCTATCTCCATCTCATGAAAGACTCAGTCTTCCTTGGCTTCGTTGATTCACGAATCGGACTTGGCTATGTTGGCGGCTTCGTTGCTCGAGCTTCAAGCGTTGCTATCTCACTCTTCATCCCTCTGTATGTCAACACGTTTTACATCAGCAACGGTTTCTGCAAAGGCTCACCACACGATTCGTCACCCGAGCTCAAGGAGGAGTGTAGAGCTGCATATGTCCTGTCTTCCATCCTTACTGGTGTGGCGCAACTGATGGGCCTCATCTGCGCTCCTATCTTCGGATACCTTGCTAGTCGAACTGGTCGTATCAACTATCCTATCGTCGTCTCAACCGTCTTTGGTATTGCAGGCTACATCGCCCTTCCGCAACTCTCCAGTCCTGAAATCAAGGACGTAGACGGCCGAGGCGGTAGCCCAGCAATCTTTTTTATTGTATCGCTCCTCGGTATCAGCCAGATCGGCGCTATCGTTTGCAGCCTTGGTTCTCTTGGCCGTGGAATTCTCGCAGTTGAGCTGCCTCGAACCGCCCGTCCTGAAAGCCTGCTCCAGCCAGAAGAGTATGAATCAGCCAACGATGAGAGCCGGCCTCTCATCAGCATCACAACAGACCAAGAGTCAGTCTCTCGTATTCGCCTCAAGGGCTCTATTGCAGGCGTGTATTCATTGTATGGTGGCTTTGCCATCTTGCTACTTACTAAGCTGGGGGGCTCTCTCTTTGACAAACTCTCCAACGGGGCGCCTTTCTACATGATGGCCATTTTTAACGCTGTTTTGCTGGCATTCTCTCTTGGAATGGATGCTTCGCACACATTTTCACATCGGGTGTAAAGTATTGTAGCGTCTTTGTCTTCTTGTAACTAGATACGAAACAAATGAAAAGCGTTCTTATTCTCCCCTTTCATGAGATCTTACAGGGGTCACCACGTCTAGTGTTATTATTACAACAAAACATCACTTATTACTAAGAAGAAATATTGATATGAGGCGTATACAAATTTATTGAGACTGTTATCCTAAATCGTACCAGATACCAGTGCTGAAAGTTGTCAAATACGTACTCCACCCCCTGGATACTCAACCCAGAATCCTAATACCTACACAAGTGTTCTTCGGCCTCACCATGACGTCTCATCTCCCTTCTTGTCAGTGCTATGATTAAACTTAATGGTTAAAGCCTATGGGTTTGTTATCCTGATCTCGTCGTTGGAAATGATCACGCAAGAAATCGCGGACCTTACCGTGGAGCTTAGTGCAGGCTTCCTTAAGGTCGTTTTTGAAGTTGTCGGTGTGATACTCCATATTGCCGCAAAAACGGAGAAGGAGTTTCTTAAAGGTACTGTCCTTCTTGCTCCCCTGGTTGTCCGTGTTGGTAGGATGGTAAGACTCCATAGTGGCGGTTTGTGGTGATTTGGTTACTACTGAGTGTAGGTAGTGCTCTGAGTGTGGAAAGTTGACAAAGAATACTTCTGAAGTTGCTTTGGTATTGTGACAGGCTTGCTGAAGTATTCTCATGTGGTTGTTTGGCTCTGAAGTGAGTGATGAAGAAGAAAACGAGAACTCTACAGGCAATTTATATTCAAAATTATTGAGCAGTGCCTCCAATCTCGACTGAACAACCGTTTTGTTCTGTTCGCTTGTTCTACAACAGTTCAATATGTTCCCAAGCGATGTGTTTGATGGAAAAGGGGCTTAGAAACGAAGAGCCCATTCAACGACGTTAGGGCTAGAGGGGTCGTCAAGATGGAGAGTCAAGCACATTTTATTACTTTGACTCGTATAATCGAGTCTAGACTTAATTCTTGAAGCGTATTGGAGCTCAAACGAGCTTCAAAGACCAAAGAATGGGCGAGTTGCGCCTCAAGCCAAGGTCGCTCCAAACCAACTGACTTAGAGCTGCGAGTGCGAGCACGTAGTGACTACTAGTGGACAAAGGCTACTTGTGCCAGTTCTAGAGAACAGATTAGGGTGTTCTAGTCATAGTTCGGGTGCAGTCCCTTGAATAAGCCGCTTGGCAAGGTTGACTTAGATGGTTCTTCAGGGGGGCCTTCATTCTGTGGCGTGGATCATCGGAAAGAACAATATCCCAAGCTGTAAACAGATTATATGTTCCTATGAGTGAATTAAAACCATCCTCTTGTTAGAGATTCGAGTGCTGGTCGTTCACGATACGATATTTGTCCATACCCCTGACCAGTGCGATGTGACGTATCAGATTCCGCCTGCATGCTTTTATTGGCTTGCAAGCTTGCATAGTGAGCATTTTTACGGTAAGAACAAAGAACTGAACAAGCCCTTAGAGGTTTTAGGGCTCGTTTGCGCTGCAAAAGTTAAGTGCCAGTTTCAGGTGCCGATAGGGGGATGAGTGAAGTTGACTTACTGGCGGCCAACAACCATAAGCAAATTGAGCGCTGCACAATAACGACTAAGTAGAGTACGTTTATAGAGAATTCCGTACATATAAAGCCATGAAAATATAATATGTTGTAGAGGGAAGATGTTGAGCCTGCCTATTGGCTGTACCCAATTTAGTGCATTCATCTTGCGGTGTATCACAAATCAGATAAAGATATAAGAGCATTTCAAATGAATTTTGTACGGAAAACCTTCGAGAAGACCTAGAGGACAGAAATATTTCTGGGTGCAGCCGAGCTAGTGAGATCTGAGCTCAAATCCTCCCTATATCACGCAGCACTTTGCCCGTTGGACGCAGACCATCCAGCCAGACACAAAAACCAATGGTCAACTTATTTTTTTCATTTCAACCTGTCGAAGAACAACGAATATGGCATCCTTTCCACCCCCTTCTTATATCGTGACGAGTGAGAAAAAAAGGAAAAAGGGGGGAGGGCGTGGACATTCATGACGTTGACCCATGTTGCTATGCTGTGAGAGGGTGCAAGCAGGGGGTTTTTGAGGCGCTCTCTTGTGCGAGGCGCGCGGGCTTAGGCAATCTAGTTGCCGCCGAGGCTGGGGAAAGCAGACTGGTCGCTGGTGTTAATAGCAGCATTGCCCTTAGCAGATCCCTGAGGAGCACCGCCGCGACCGCCGCGGTTACCTCCACGGCCACGGTCACCACCACGCTCTCCGCCACGACCACCACGGCCGCCACGGCCTCCGCGAGCACCACCTCGGGTACGCTCAGGCTCGACGAAGCGAGGGTCGAAGTCAATGGTTTGCTTGACCTTGCGCTCGCGCTGGCGCTGGGCCTTGCCTCCGGTAGGGGCGAAGTACTCCTCCTCCTCGTTCTCGAGGGGCTTGGCGTTGGCCCACTTCTTGTCGAGCTTGCTGCCCTCGTTGGCCTCACGGACCTTGAGACCAGAGTCGAGAGCGGCCTTCTTCTCAGCCTGCTGGGCGAGATATTCTTCGTAAGAGACCTGCTTCTCGGCCTCCTCCTCAGCAGCAGCAGCCTCGGCGGCGGCGGCGTCCTCAGCAACGGCCTCCTTCTGCTCGTCCTTAGCGATAGCTTCACCGGCCTGCTCGTCCTTAAGCTCAGCAGTGCCCTCGTTAGCACCCCAGGATTGGGCAGCCTGCTTGTCAGAGCCACTATATACTGTCAGTATGTCGAACAAGACTAGGATTTTCAGTCAAGCATACCCGTGACCACCGAACTTGGAAGGGTGTCGGTCATCGCGCTCACGGGCGTGTCTAGCGCCACGTCCTGTAAGTTGTCAGCTTGTGTTCGCCATAACCAAAAACCTCGGGCTACTCACCACCACGGACACGAGCACCGGCACCGCCTCGGGGACCATCACGAGGAGTCTCCTCAGTGGATCGGTTCTGGTTTCGGTTGCTGCCAGCACCACGATCCCGGAAAGCTATTCCGAGTCAGTATTTTGACCTTGGACTCAGTTCCAGTGCGTAAAACTCACCACCCTCGTTACCACCGGGACCACGGCGGTTACCGCCAGCACCACCGGCCCTTACGGGAGCCTGGGGCTCGACATTACGCTTAGTAGTACGAGCAGTGTTCTTGTCAACGGTCTTGACAGGAACGACGGGCTTCTCCTCGCCGTCACTGTCATTGCCTGTGGAGGAGTCGATATGTCAGTACGAATGATCGTAATTGAGTTGGGCATTGGGCATCGGAGTCGATGAAGCGAGGTTGGCTTTTTTTTTTTCTCGCGGGGAAAGCGGGGAGAGGAGGAATCGTACCGAGGTAGGCAAAAGGGTTCTGATAAGAGCGTTAGCATGATTGAATAGTCATTTGGCTATTGTGGTATCGTATTTGTGGTGTTTTGGTATGAGGGTACAAGCCGTCGCGTTAGGTTAGGGCAAACAACCTGATGGGCGATGACGAGCGAAGGGAATGAGGGGCTTGTTTTGGATCGTGGGCGAGAGGATAGGCGATGCGACAAGAAATAGCAGGAGCGTAGAGCAAGCGAGGAGGAGTAGAAGCAAATGCGACTGCTGAAGCCATCGAGAGCGAGGGTTCTCGTACAAGAGAGTTCGATCAGAGGCGTTGTGATGCAAAATTGCCAACCCAATCCAACGCCCCAAACTCGAGATCGCAGGGGGTACACTGCTTACAAGAGAACAACAGAATAGAGATAATGCGTACCTTTGTGACAACCGACATCTTTGGTCGTCGCCTTGGGCTTATCGCCTTCCGTCCGGGGCGTAATTCAAATCTTGAGGGCGACGAAGAGTGGTCTACGGTCGCATGACCTTGTAAGAGGAAGAGCTTTGGTGGTTTTTGGTTGTGTTAGGTTGTGTACGTACGTAGAGTAGACAGACTCCAGCCAGCAGAGGGGGTCGAGTATTGATTGTAGGAGTGGAGGGCTCAGTCAGGTTTGGCTGAGTCGAGACTGTCGAGTAGGCAGAGAGTCTCGTAAGTATTTTTTTGGCTTCTATTGGTGTGGTGTGACCCTCGACCTTTTTTTTCTGAGACCTAATGGTGCCCACGATCAAGCCAAAATCAGAGTCTAATGTTACTGGTAACAAATTTACTAATACAAATCACTGGGACCAGCCTCTTTTTTTTTCTCCGTCTGTCTCTCTATTTTACCTGATCTACTACTGACAACTCTACAAGTACAGCGCACAACATGCCCTGACGCAACTGTTATTACTGGTCGTCAGGTGGGACGCTGAGGGAACTCTGACGCACACGCCAAAACGCTAGAAACCTTGTTCTCGCTTAACGATTTCAATTAAATTTAATTTTGTGAGTGGAATTTTCGAGGTCTTAGGGCATGGAAATGGGTACTTTTGACGATTGGATTGGATCTTCAGAGCTAGCACAAGCCAATTGACCCCGCGGTTGAGCTCCAAGCAGCCTCTTGATGAGAATGATGCTGCCAATATATGGCTTATGGCTATAGATCTATGCTATATCATGCTCGTGATTACCAGCCTTTCCAATTAACTCAATTATTCATTAACAATGATGTTATAAACCCAATGCATTCGACTCTAATTCAAGCAGAGTTCAATATTGCTACTGAGGCTTAACTCACCTGTCTCTAGCATCCAATTACCCCGCCAGAGCTTAGCTACGGCTGGGCTTCTTTGGCTGGTGGAAACAAACCTCCATTCCCCTCCTCAAAGTCAATATGATCTCGTTCCTAACAGAATCAGTTATGATCGAATTTATTACAAAAAGTTCAATCTCTCCATTCAACGCTCATGCTATTAATCTAAAGCTGAATTGGGTTCCAAAGCTCCCTTGTCTTCTAACAGTTCTTATGGCGCCTGGTAAGATCTCGCTTGGCTCCGTGCCTCGGCCGTCCGCTTCCGGTGCCGAACCGATGTGAATGCTCTCATAGTTACGTACCTCATCTGTCTCAGGCTTTGTCCTGATGATCATGATAATTCGGTCATCTCATTGGTTTGCCGAAACTGTAATCCTCTCCCTCTTGACGATCACCAAGCTCAAAGGTTCGCCCTGTATAGCTTCATACTATCCTACTAGTCCAATTCCGCTGTATACCTAAGCATGGAACGAATGTAAACAACTTCTCTTAAAACTTAATGCATAATTCGCATGCGAATAGGGGCCCTGCTTCGTTAATACATACTGCCGTGTAACACTCCTCTATCGTCCTGTAAAGAACCGTCTCAACTCAGACCCAACTTTGCCTCCCCATTCGCCAGCCTCAGATTGTCCCGACTTCGTCTTCACAAGGCCGTCCTCAGTCACGCTTGCATCTACCCTTCTCAATCTTCTCACCTCTCGGCTCTGTGTCGACCTCGTCGTCGCGGGCTGGTAACGGTCCAGATACTCTGATGATTGTGGTGTAGCATGCACAGTTCGTTGCGAGTGCGACGTGAGCTGCGAGGGCAAGGGGCTAGCCGTCTTGACATTTGACAAAGGAAGCGGATATGGCGTCCGCAGTACCTGATCTGGATATTCGGGGGGTGTTCTGTATGCTGATGACTCTGCCTCTGAACGATTGGCCTCTGCGCGACGTGACGGAGCGAGTCGAGATGAGGGTCGTTTCAAGGGTTCTACACTGACCCAGCTAACAGCTTGTTTGTGCCGCACTTCAGACCGGTCAATCATGTCGAGGTAGTCGTGCTCTAGAGCTTGTTGAGTGTTGCGACTGCGAGACGGCGAAGGGGGTGGGGTTTTGGGTAGAGTTGGTGATGGTTGGTGTGGAGTACGATGTTCTGATGATCGACTTCTCACAGGTGATTCCGAGGGACAGACTGAACAAGGAGCAGAATGTTGTTTTCTCAGATCATGAGGAGGCTGGAGGTATGTATCGGTGGCAGTTGACCTGCGCTGGCGCTCATGGATAGTAGGACTTGGTGGTCGTTGCATGAATAGCGGTATGGGCTTCAGAGGACTTGGTTTGAAAGAAGGACCGTTGATGGGATCAAAAATGTCGACCCATATAACCGATTCGGATTTGTCCTTGAAACCGGTTGAGACCTTGTTGACTGTGAGGTCCTCAGCCTCAGCACCATATTCGTTCTTGTGGATTCTCTGTTGGTTTGAGGGGGACTGATACATGAATGTTAGCAAGAATCACAGAGGCAAAACTTGCAGCTTACCTTTAAGTTCTTCTCGCTGTTTTTGGCCTCCCATCTCTTCCTGGTCAAGCCCCCATCAACTTTCTCGACTCTCCTCAACCCCCTCTTCACAACGCTATCCTCCTTAACACCATCAACCTCGACTTCCACGACACAAGCTGCGCAAAGTGGTACCTCAGTGACCTCTTTCCCTCCACATCCTTCCTTTACTCGATCTTCTGCTCCGCTCTCCAGAAAGAGATCGTGTACTGAAACTCCCTGATGAATGGATCTGCTCCCGTAGAGTAAACATCCGTAACACGCTCGATGCCAGAAACACCAACCGAAACTGACACATTCATCGCCTCGGTATATGAGCTCGCCGCAAACCCAGCAGATGGCTAGGTTGAGGAGTGCTGCGTGACATGTTGTACAGGCTAGACGTGCGGTACGACCGATGATTTGAGGGTGACCTTGAAAGACGTGGAAGCAGAATGTGCAGGTGAATATGTTGGTTTGGCTATGATTTGGCATCGCAGAAGCATAAAGGGAAAGAAATGCGTTCGATCTTATGTTAGGTATTGTGATGAAAGAATGTATGAGCGAGCAACCGAAGACCAAGGCCATAGTTTGGTAATCTCCAGATCGCGTCTTGAAGAAGTATCATAGGATCGGATGTTGAGTAAAAGAGACTGCAAGACTAAGATAAGGCACCACAGCGAAAGACATAACATATTGGATTAAGGAAAGTGCAGGGCATGTCGAGGAAGGAAAGCGAAACATATCAGACACTGCAATCATGAAACAGAGAAGTCCTTAGGGAGAGATATATGTGTTAAGTTTATGCACAACCCTATACAATCAAATACAATGATGAACTATTCTCATCTGAATTTTAATCTCAGAACCTGATGCATTTTGCCATGACGCCCCGGAAACCCCTAATCCTTGAGTGACCCAAATCCTTTGTCTTGTGTGTGGTAAAAAACAGCATGTCATTTGACTTTGTCAACATAAAAAGCCAGGTAAAAACAATCTCGAAACTCCAGCTTAATCAAAGCACGCTTCATCATTAGCTTCTTGTGTCAAGCTCTGGGTATCAGCAGAATCGAGTGACCAACATGTTACACGCCAGAGCGGACAACAGTGACTCTATAACATCTGCCGTGGCAATCTCCAGAATACGATAGACACATAAAGTCGTATTATACATTCAATTTTCAAAAATTCGCAGCTGTAGCTGCAACTTGGTGGATTCCAACTGTATGGAAACCTAAGCTCGATTCTTAGGACGAGCAAGCATGTTAAGCCGACTCAAGCTGAGAACTGCACGTTTCTTGGTAGGGCTGGAAGAAGCAGGCGTACGCGGAGTAGCACTACCAAAACGGACCTTCTTTGCGCTGGGAGTGCCGCCAACAAGACGAGGAGCAAGAAGGGCTTCACCTTCAGGGACGTGCTCAGCCTTGCGCTTCTTGGCTGCACGCTCGGCACTCTTCTGCTCCTCTTCTTCCTCGTCCCAACTGGTTCGGTGTCGCTTCTTGTTGGACATGCCATGAGGCGCTCCAACCAGAATCTTGGCCGAGCCAGGTTCCTTGTTTTCCTTGTTGAGGCCAATTGGGGAAGTAGGACCAGGGAAGCTACCGGGCATCATCGCGTTAGGCTTAAGTGACTGTCGGACTTGGCGAACACTCGACTGGCCGGGGGAAGCTCCAAAGCCTAGCACAGGAACGTCACCAAACTCGATTGTATGATCACTGCGGAATGTGAACTTGCCGGGGACAGATGCAGGTCCATTATCCTTCTGTTTGCTGGGAGGCTCGGGCAGAGGTCTAAAGCCACTTAGATCAGGGTATACAACATCACCGGAATCCGCCTTCGCAAGTGTTCCATCGATACCTTGGAACTGCTCGTCCGCCAAAGTTCGTGTTGACTGAGCCTTGAGACAGGACTTCTGTGGGGAAGGTGAGTTCTGCTCGAATGCAATGCGCGTGACCTCTGGTGTGAAAGCGACGTGCTTTGTTACCTTTCGTCGAGGAGTAGTCAACGGAAGAGGAGGCAAAGCCTTGTCCTTATCGGCCTTAGGTGGAGCTGGTGTCTGTGAGAGCATGGGCTGAGGGATAGCAGTCTGAACATTGCCAGAAGGTGTTCGATTTCCGCGCAAAATCGACTTGACTCTATCGAAGCGGCCTGGGCTAATGACCCGAGATCTAGGCGTGGTCGGCTTGCCAGGCATAAGGTGAGAAGTACTGGTGGATTTTGGCAGACCACTCTTCAGGTCGACCTTGGAAGGAGACTTGATCAGAGAAATGGTTGGTTTGCCTGTGTGAGCGAGGGACGCCTTCGTAGGGCTCATGAGTCGTGCCAGACTTGATGTTGAGGCAGGCAATTTGGTTGAACCACTTCCACTGGACTTAGGTCGAGGAATCGAGGAGTCATCGCGTGATGAAGGTCGGTTTGTTGTCGCATCATCCTCCATTTGCTGCTTGAGTCTCTTCGAAGGAACGCGTTGGTGTACATTAGGGAACAACTGTGCCTTCTTGGAGGATGTGGGAATAGCGGTAGGCAGGTTGGACGGAGGCATAGTGGACTTCTTGGGTGAGGGCGATTGTTGGTATTCATCGAGGTTAGCACGCGACGACTTGCGCTTGAGGCTCTGCGTGACGCGAGGTGTTGATGGTGTAGGGACATCCAATTCAGCCTTTGAGGGAGATCGCTTCAGACCAGACTTGTCAGGGGAAGAGGTTGGTGTCGTTTCCAGGTTGGCCTTTGAGGGTGTGCGCTTCAGCGACTGAACAACAGGCTGGAAGCGCCCGTTTTGAGCTCTCCAAGCAGACGCATGGTTTTCGATGGAGTCCATCTTCTTGAACTCTGCCATATGCGCCGCGCTATAACGACTTGTCTTACCCTTGGGTTTAGCAATCTTGCGGCCAAGAGCATCCTCTTCAGCGCCCTCTGCATCGCGTTTGGCGATCATGTCAGCCTTGATCTTGGCAGCCTGTCCGCGAAGTTCCTCCATGAGTCGCTGCGCATCACCGCTGAGGGTGGAATCGGTAGTGTCGCGCGTAAATCGGAACGTGAAATTGGAAGCAGGAACGCCAATCTTGGACGGTGTGTCGGGCGGGACGCCAGGGCGGCTGGTGTCCTTGATATCTGTGAAGCCCAGCCTCATCGCGGAGGAGGGCTCACCCATGTTGTGATGAGCTTTACTTGGGTGCATTTCTTCATGGGGAGGCTTCATGGCCGATGACGCTGGCGTCGAAGGCGCGGGAGCTGGTGATGATGGAGCGGCATTGTTTTTGCCTTTCGCTTTGCTGTGACTCTTCAGCTGGGGAAGACGTTCAGGCGACTCGGCATCTTCAACGACAGAGGTCAAGTTGGATGTCGCAGGTTTCTGTCATAATTGTCAGGATGCTTGTCTCGAAAATTGCCTGATGCCATCACGGAGCTCACCTTAGGGGTAGTAGCAGAGGCCAACCGGGCCGAGCGACGGCGCGGAGGAGACATTGTGATTAATAAGAATGTGGTCAAGACTCCAAGTTATGCAAGTATTGAGCAGGTAATTTCAATAATTAAGGGTCGTGATCCTCGTGGGTGATGTCTTTGGGGTCTCTGGTATGATGTCAAATCTCTCTCGATCCAGATGGCGCGTGAATTCCAACGTTGTGAGTGGTGGGGGCTTGCGGTTTGTTTACATGGTCCAAGCTCCATAACAACGGGTTTCTATGCACAGTGTCAGTCACAGTACTTCACACCAGATATCGGTCTGGCACTGTACATCGTCATCGCTTACCCTGTGGCACATTAAATCAGGCTTACAAGTTGAAGTTTATCGAATTGAAGACATGTCTCAATGACAATACACGTCTTGAGGTTCCCCTTACGATGTCTGAGTTCCTTGCTACAATATCAATATTTAACTTGTGTTACTGAGAGCAACTCAAATCCACAAAGGAGTAATATGGTTGGAACTCTAATACCTCCACATAGTCAATTGTACTAGTTGAATAACATCACGAAGTGCCAGCATGGAGGTCTGTGCATTTAACTTAGATTTTCGGTATTCACCACGCGCCTATCCAGCCATCTACCGTTACTGTGATAGCCAAGAATCACGTTGTTACATGTATCACAAGGCCAACACATAGAACATCGTCTGATAGACCAACGAAGACAACATGTCATTCCAGAATCATAAACATAGGCAAGTCTGATCATAAACGCCATCTTTAAAGGCAAAATGAAACGAATAGAATACTGAAAGTGTACACTCTGCCCAAGACTGATACCAATGTTGCTGCTCAGGCATGAGTTTCACTAAGCTCTGCTTTCATGATGGTATACTTCACAATGCCATCAGCACACCACTGAATTTGGCGAAGAAGCACATCTTATGCAGACCAATCCCTATGCTGGTTCTAATATGCCCATAACATGATCTGCCAGCTCTCATCCGTTACCCATGACATGCAAGTAATACCCAAATCGGCTATCATGCCACTGGGATCTGGTGCCTGTCACGAGAGCCTCCCAACAGTCTCATGTTGAAGTATTCGCTTATGAAAGATCACATTTTCTCACGAGATTTCGCCAGTCTTGAAGAGGGAGATGCCGAAAGAAAGCGTGGAGAAGCGTAAGGGGATAGTCGAAAGGTTTCACTCAACACAAGTCCATCCCCGAATACGTCCTCCTCGATCTCGTGCCCGTATACTTCTCTACCAGGACTGATCCTACCACTTACTCCGCCCTGTCTCAGCTGTCCACACATGCGTGATCGACGTGAAATCGAGACCAAATCGACTCACATCACTTTCACGGTTCATGGGGTGACGTTCCCGTTCGGATCTCACAGTGGCTGTAACCCGAGCCGCGCTAGAAAATTTCCAGAAGCAACACCCCATGTCTCGAAGAGAACAGCCCGCCTGGGCACCATGGCGCGACCCGACAATCCCGGCGAAGCCTAGTCAACTCAATGAGAGTCAGCTGAGGCGAAAGCGTTTTTCTCGCTCGGTGTGGAAGGTGAAGGAGAGTTTCGGCAGATTCAACCGACGTTGCGTGGCTTGGCTAGGATTGCCAAGGGCCGTGGAGATCATGTTAATGCAAGGAATTTCTGAGGAACATAACCTGAGAACTCTCTCTTACACAGCCCATAAGGTTTGTTACGAAAGGCCATGCTGAAACATATTTACCTTCTTGATCGGGTAGCATTCTGATCTTCTCTGACAAAATGCCGATCTCGAAGCTCATCAACATGAGAATAGCGTCACAGAGACTGACCCTCAAGTTGTTGTCCAAGGGCGGAAGCTAAGGCCCAACAGAGTTACAACAGGAGACCGGCGCAGTTCGGGAGATGCAGGTGAAGCGGGTTCCCTAGGTCAAGCGAGACGAACCGTCTTCTTCGACCTCACTTGGCAGAGCCTCTCTGACTCTCATTGATCAAGACAGACAGGCAGGGTTGCATCGTGTGTGTGCCTGGCCTCAGCCATTGAAACCGACCCATCAGAATCGGTAGGGCGTGGTTGACGACCATTTAAGTG